TGTCAACGGAGCCATGAGAGCTTTGTTTCACATCAATCTGAAGATCTGTGTAAACACATAAGCTTTCAATTATTACTTCTTAAGAAAATCACCTCAAAAATCACCACATTCACCACTAATCATCACTTTCATTTCCTTGACATCCAAATACTTTCTAAAATCTTACAATTTCCAGCTGTAATTATTTTGAAGTTCAGTATTCATATCTTTGCATTTTTAAAGCAATATTCAGTTCTTAATATTTTGAAGTTAGTAAATGGTTCTCGATTATCTTAAATTTACAGCTAGAAAAGGATTTAAACAATGAACTTATTAAGGACACACAATGATTCAGTGGCAGAATTAGGATAGAAATGTTTTACTTTCTAGCTTTTAGATTAAAAAATTACAAGTTTTCAAACCAGTTGGATAAAGTTGGTAATGCATTTCCTTATATGTTCAAACTATGATACAATTATGCTCATTTCACATACTAGCAAGGTGACGCTCAAAATCCTTCAAGCTAGGTTTCAACAGTACATGAACGAAGAACTTCCAGATGTACAAGCTGGATTTAGAAAAGGCAGAAAAACCAGAGATCAATTGCTGAAATCCATTAGATCATAGAAAAAGCAAGGAAATTAAAAAAAAAAATCTACTACTGCTTCATTGACTATGCTAAAGCCTTTGACTATGCGAATCACAACAAATTGTGGAAAATTCTAAAAGACATGGGAATACAAGCCACCTTACCTATATCCTGAGAAACCTGTATGCAAGATACGAAGCAAGAGTTAGAACTGGACATGGAAAAACAGACTGGTTCAAAATTGGGAAAGGAGTATGTCAAGGCTGTATATTATCGTCCTGCATATTGAACTTATATGCAGAGTACATCATGTGAAATGCCAGGCTGGATGAACACAAGCTGGAATCAAGACTGTAAGGAGAAATATCAACTGCCTGATATGCAGATAACACCATCCCAATGGCAGAAAGTGAAGAACTAAAGAGCCTCTTGATGAGGATGAAAGAGGAGAATGAAAAAGCTGGCTTAAGACTTAATATTCAAAAAATGAAGACCATGGCATCTGGTCTCATCACTTCATGGGAAATAGATGGGGGAAAAGTGGAAACAGTAACAGATTTTACTTTCCTGCGCTCCAAAATCACGGTGGACAGTGACTGCAGCCATGAAATGAAAAGACGCTTACTCCTTGGAAGAAAAGCTATGGAAAACCTGGACAGAGTATTCAAAAGCAGAAACATCACTTTGTTGACAAAGGTCCATTATAGTCAAAGCTATGAGTTTTCTAATAGTCACGGAGCTACGGTTTTTCCAGTAGTCATGTATGGATGTGAGAGTTGGACCATAAAGCAAGCTGAGCGCCAAAGAATTGATGCTTTCAGATTGTGATGCTGGAGAAGACTCTTGAGAATCCCTTGGACAGCAAGATCAAACCAGTCAATCTTAAAGAAAATCAACCCTGAATATTCACTGGAAGGACTGATGCTGAAGCTGAAGCTCCAATACTTTGGCCACCTGATTCAAAGAGCCAACTCACTGATAAAGACTCTGATGCTGGGAAAGACTGAGGGCAGGAGAAGGGGGCAACAGAGAAAGAGATGGTTGGATGGCATCATTCAATGGACAGGAGTTTGAGCAAACTCGGGAAGATAGTGAAGGGCAGGGAAGCCTGGCATGCTATAGTTGAGGGATCTCAAAAACCCGGACATGGCTTGGAAACTGAACAATCACATCACTATTCTGGAAATCCCTATAGAAGACAAAAACAGCTGGTTCCGTATCTCTCCCTTGGCAGTATAAAATTATTTGCAGATGGTACAATTGTGTCTGTCTCAGGAAACAAGCACTTTAACTGGATGTTAAGGAGATTGGGAATGGTTCCTCATTTTAAATACATCCACTCACAGTTAGGACATTTGAGGCATTAAGAGAAAAGGGTTATGAACCCAGAAGGGATCTTAGATGGGCTTGTTGTTGCTGTTCAGTTGCTCATTCAGGTCTGACTCTTTGTGACCCCATGGTCTGCAGCATGCCAGGCTTCCCTGTCCTTCACTATCTCCCAGAGTTTGCTCAAACTCATGTCCATTGAGTTGGTGATGCCGTCCAATCACCTCATCCTCTGATGCCCACTTCTCCTCCTGCCCTCAATCTTTCCCAGTATCAGGGTCTTTTCCAATAAGTTGGCTCTTTGCATCTGGTGGTCAAAGAACTGGAGCTTCAGCTTCAGCATCAGTCCTTCTGATGAATATTCAGGCAGGGTGGATTTCCTTTAGGATTGACAGGTTTGATCTCCTTGCTGTCCAGGGGACTCTCAAGAGTCTTCTCTGCACCACAGTTCAAAAGAATCAATTCTTTGGTGCTCAGCTTTCTTCATGGTCCAACTCTCACATCCGTACATGACTACCAGAAAATCCATAGCTTTGACTATATGGACTTTGGTTAACAAAGTGATGCCTCTGCTTTTAAATACACTGTCTAGGTTTGCCATAGCCTTTCTTCCAAGGAGCAAGCGGCTTAATTTCATGGTGACAGTCACCGTCCACAATGATTTTGGAGCCTAAGAAAATGAAGTCTGTCACTACTTACTTCCATTGTTTCCCCATCTATTTGCCATAAAGCTATGGAACTGGATGCCATGGTCTTCGTTTTTTGAACATTGAGTTTGAAGCCAGCCTTTTCACTCTCCTCTCTTACTTTCATCAAGAGGCTCTTTAGCTCCTCTTCCCTTTCTACCATAAGGGTGGTGTCATCTGCATGTCTGAGGTTATTGGTATTTCTTCCGGCAATCTCAATTCTAGCTTGTGCTTTATTCAGCCTGGCATTTCACATGATGTACTCTGTACTCCAATTTTGTTACTTTTTATCTGTCTTTCTACATTTTCTGCTCTTAAGATTCTACTGTATTCAATTGACAAAAACTGATAATCAACGTAATGGAGAAAGTGTTAGTCACTCAGTCATGTCTGATTCTTTGCAAATTCATGGACTAGTTTGCCAGGCTCCTCTATCCATGGGATTCTCCAGGCAAGAATACTGGCGTGGGTAGCCACTCCCTTCTCCAGGGGGATCTTCGCAGCCCAGTGACTGAACCCAGGTCTCCTGCACCGCAGGCAGATTTTTTACCATCTGAGCCACCAGGGAAGGCCAAGGGTCCTCTGCAAATACTGTTGGTAGGAATGTAAATTGGCAGGCGTTTTACAGTTCCATTTGGCATAATTACCAAAATTTTATATATACACAGTGTTCAACAAATTCATGTGTAGATCAGATTGATCCAGCAGAAACACCAATGTAAGTGAGTCAAGATACACACACAAAGATCAATGCAGCATTGTTTGAAATAGTGAAAAATGAAATGAACCTATGCATTAGAGGTGACAGAGCAGGCCTGAGACTACTGTCCTAAAAAGGCTTGCTTTGCAAGGTTGCCCCTCAGCTGGAGTCTGGGAATCCAGCAGGTAAACAGCTCTCTACACGGATATAAAGCTTTCCCTAAAGATCCACACCTGGGAAAATGAAGCCATCATGGCACTCAGACACTACATAACCCAGAGCCACCCCACACGGAAGCCCAACTGGTTTCAGATAAGCTTCCCTTAATATTTAAGCCATCTGAAGTGGGATTTTACTGCTTTCAGTCCATCTGGATTGCCACCTGTGTTGGCTTATATAAAACTGACTCTGAAATTATAAGCCAGAGCCCTGTATATGTATCCTAGATGCACCACTAACTTTGTGAATGTGGGCAAGGCATTTATCATCCACAGGTACAGTTTTTTCACTGTGCAAGTGAAATAATACCTTTTAAAAGTACAGTTGTGAAAAAATAAGAGGAAAACTCACTGTTTTGGTTATACAATGTTTGTAAAATTTAATGATCCAAAGAAGCCTAGCAAATAACCTGGTATATGAGTTGCCAGGTAATGGATCCACATCTCTGCAAGCCCCACTGCTAGAATATTTAAACCCTAGAAGCTCTGTCCAATATACACATCATAGAAACTGTCCCTCAATTATCAGAAAAATCTGAAATCAGCCAAGGGAAACAATTCTGTTTCATAGCTAACATTATAGCACAGATTCTAATAAATGAAATTTTTACCTGGGCTAGCATTAGTTATTTTCCCTCACAGGGCATTTGCAGAAGTCCTGAACATACCACATGGGAAAACAACACAGAGTATAATCAACTTTAAGACAGGCTGAGCCAGCCACATGATACGCAGGTGGTCTGCTACTGGCAGCAATTCAAACAGCATGGCTGAAGCAATCTCCATCTAAATCTCTCAAATGAGAAATTAACAGAGGCACATTCACGAAGCTACATAATTTTTTTGTGAGTACCACCTTTCTGTACCACAGACATGTTCTGAAATATATATTACCACTCTTAAAGGTTTTATTAGAAATAATCAGTATTTAAATGTTGTACCCAGTGTATTGACTAGTCATATTATATGCATAAATAGACACAGATATATCTATACATACATAAACATGCATGTATACATACTGACATGTTAGGCCAAAGGGAGCTTTAAAACAAGCACCAAAGGATACTTAATTGATTACAGAAGTAAAAACTGACCTTTCTAAGTTATCAATCATATAAGTTACTGACCATATAAGTCTCAAATATTAAAAAAATAAAGCAAATTATGGCAAAAACTTTAGTGCACTTTACAACATAATATATACAATAGTTAATATACACCATAAACAAATCTGTTACCAAACTGTAGATATAAAATAACTAACAATTTACATGTGAATAAGTGAGTAGGTCAAAGTCGCCCAGTCATGTCTGACTCTTTGCGACCCCATGACTATACAGTCCATGGAATTCTCCAGGGCAGAATACTGGAGTGGGCAGCCTTTCCCTTCTCCAGGGAATCTTCCCAACCCAGGGATCAAACCCAGGTCTCCCGCTTTGCAGGTGGCTTCTTTACCAGATGAGCTACCAGGAAAGTCCAAGGATACTGGAGTGGGAAGCCTAGCTTTTTGTTCTCTGTTTTCTTCTCCTCTTGGGTGCAGTGAACTCTAAAGACAAAAAATTAAGGCGTCTGTCAGATCTAAAAAAGAATAATACTTAATTGATTTAATTAAGTATTTGGTATAACAGTAAGAAAACTTCACAACAAAGATACAAGAAACCTTAAACCTGACATATACATGATTTTTCCCTTCAAAATGACATTGCAGTTGTAGACTTACTAATGTAGATCCCAATTATGCTAAATGCTACTTGATAATAAGCTACTCGGAGGGTGTTTCCTATGGGTATGCCCTCCCTATAGTTAGTATGGGCCCAGCATGCCAGATCGGAACAGTATCTGGGCCAGTGCTAACAGAAAGTGACTAGAGATGTTAACTGCTTTCCAACTGACATCTTAGTCACTTTCTGTTAGCACTGACCCAAAACACTAGCACTATGCATCTTTTTGGCTACCGTGGCACATGCCATGACCAATACCCAAGTTAAGTCTCCATCCAGAAAGAGTCAAGAGCCTAAAGTCACTGATTGTTAAAAACAAAACAAATAACACAAGATACAAAACATGAAAATTATGGAAGACATAGAAAAAAGAAATATTCCCCATCAATGAAAACTAAAAGAAGATGACAGAAAAAGGAATGAGAAAAGACAAAGACAAAATTAAGAAGAAAAAGAAAACAGATTCCTGGAAGGCAGCAGCGTCAGGCCAAGAGTATACAGAGCAAGTCTGAGACCTGGTGGAGACCTCCTTAAAAAGATGACAGTGGTAAAATGCCTAATGTGCTCAAGTGTTTCAAGGGGAAGATTTATACATCGAGCAATAGTCTGAGGATAAATTAGTGATAAGTACATAAAGAAACAAATTAATAAGGCAAAAAAATTATTAACTCTCTAAGGCCAACAATAAATACTCAGATTAAGGGAGAATCACAGATTATGTTAGATGGCCCTGCTGCTAATAATGTTTCATAAATGCTGAATACTCACGTAACTAAAATAATTACTATACTTGGAGGGTGGGGGATAGGAAGTATCATGTGTTTGGGTTGGGAGGTGAAGAATATATAAAATTATTATACTGTAACATCTTTGCATGGTGACAGAGGTAACCAGATATATATATATATATATATATATGTATCTCTCATGGTGATTGCTTTGTAGTGTACAGAAATATCCATCATGTTGTGCACCTGTTACATTAAGGAGAACTAAATCCTTGCCCTCCTCAATGTGAAAAGTCAACAGATAATTCATAGAACTGAAATATGAATAAGTGACAATATAAACATGCTATTTAGAAACATGGAGGTCAATACCAAAATAATTATCAAAGAGTTAAAAGTGGTTGTCTCAGGGAATAAGAAATGGGAGTCAGAGTCAGAAGTCCATGGTTTCTTATAATCAGTATTAAAAAATTGTTAATAGTAAATTATTTGCTTATGTATTTAATAAAAACCAAATTTTTAAAACTCACACGCTGATAGATTTTAGAATGACTTGCCAGGTAGCCATAAAAGTATACATGTGTTTGTTTACTTGCAATAAAAGCCACTAGACAAAACTAGAAAGCAACTATAGTCTGAAACTATACGGGACTGTATAGGATTACAAAGAACGGTGTTACACTGACAAAGCGAATCAGAGGCACTCAGACTTCTGCGCAACAGACACTCTCTTGTCTTTGTCTTCTGTGTGGCTCCACAGCACCCAGTCTCTTTACCATGATGTACTAGCTCGTTTTGTTTCTTCCCACTAAGCCATAAGGTTCTCTGGGGCTGGGACTGATCTGATTCATTCAGTCGTAACTGAGGCCCACTATGAGCCACTCACTGTGCTCAGATCTATTACTGTGATCAAAATAAACCAGTTCTTAAAACTCTGGTACTATGTATCTTTATATTCCCATACCTAGCTAACCACTTTAAACATAATAGGCACTCAATAAATGTTTGCTGAATGGATACAGCACCAAAAAGGAAACATCATTAGGCAGATTCTTGATATGTATTATATTCATTATCACTGATGGCTTACCAAATATCAAGCCTAGCCAGCTAAATATGACTTATTCTCTATGTTACTGTAATTATTATTAGAGATATTTATTTAAACTATTGTTTAACAAATATTATAAATTATGAAAACCACAGCAACAAAAAAAGGTACAGGCATTTTAAATCACATTGTGCAATTTACCACTGAGTTACAATCATCATCTCATAGGTAAAAATTTTACATTTACTAGAATTTGAAATGAGAAATTTTTAGCAATAAAACATTTTTTAAAAGTTATATCCAGTAACTCACTTTGTGAACTTTGCCCTTTATTAGGAATACATTTCAGAAACCCTCATGATTACAGATATTCACTTACTAATAACGATGTATTCCCTCTCCTTCACTGACCACTGCCGGTCCATATACATTCATTTACTGGATTATCACTTACTTTTAAGTGTCAGGATTAATGGTAAAATTCTCCAGTGTACCAAAGATAAAAACATCACAGGGACACACAGTTGTCATGCTCTTCTGGGTTCTAAACCTTGAAGTTCTACCAGGAGTTTGACAAACTTTCATCTGTACCTGTTTCACTAAAACTTTCATTCTCCTCATCCTCTTCTGCAACCACAGGCATACTCAGACTTAAAGAATTATCTTCCTTATGTAGATTCTGCATGTCACCTGGAAAGAGTTAAACAAGTAATTTTATATGAAAACAAAGAATGTTAATCTTTGTGAAAAATTTTACACAAATTACGATAATACTATAATAGCACATATTAGGTGTTTAAAAGCTAAAATTGTAATAGTGAACAGAAATATGCATTTTAAAATACACATCATTTTTAAAAGTATTCATATGTTTATACCTAGGTTTTGAAAATACCCTCTAATTCTTCCATTAAAGAAAACAGAGGAAAAGAGAAGAAACAAAATTAGCCAAACACTGATACAGGATTCAATCCTTATCACACACAGCATGGGTTATATCTGCAGACACCATGGAATAATCATATGTTACTTCAAGTCAATCACACATGTAATTCTAAAGTTAACAGTCTTTTAAGACTGATACGGACTTAATGACAAATATTCTATATTGGTTGCTGAACACCAGAATGCTGTCCAAGAACCATTATTAAATAAAACAAGCTGAAAATAAGGCAATTCTCACATACACAAGCACACACACAAAATCTGTTCCTTTTAGGATCATTATTCACTAATCTAACAAACAATTGTAAGATCATATTACAGTGAAGGAAAATGTGCACAAACATCAGAAACACAGTTAAGATTGGAGGTTTTCTGTAGCAACCTTCTGTTGCCTGAAGAAATATCCTCATCAAATTATCAAATACCACTGTCATAACAGGTCTCATTCAGCATATCATTTTCTGGTCATGGCAACCCCTTGACACAGTCACTCTTTATTTCTTATGCTTCCTGATTCTTCTCTACAACACTTTTTCTACATGTTATCTGTAGTAATTTGTCTCTTTATAGCCTGCCTCTTCCCATTAGAATGTAAACTTCACAAGGACAGACTCTGGTTTGTTTAAGTTGATGTATCCCCAGCACTTAGAAAAGTGCCTGGCATAGAGGAGGGCCTCAATGAACCATGAATAATCAAATATGGATTCAAGTATTTTATAACACAGTATTTCACAGAGTATATGTGTTACTAAGTACCTGCCAGTACAGAAGGCAACAAATTCAATGAAAATGAGTTTAAGCTTTCTGCTCTAAACACACATATGCTGGCATCTTAATGGGCTGCAGATTTTATGGAATGAAGAGATTGCTCTAGATAAAGTTAACTGTAGCAAAAAGCTTCCATTTTAAACACAATTCAAACCAAGATTATAATCAGTACAATCTATCCCAAATTACTAATACTCTTCTTAACAATCTTGCGCCATATTCATCCGTATCAACTATTAATGATTTTTTCAAACCCACATTTATAACCTAAGAGAATCTATGCAACAATGTCAAGGGAAGGAGTTCTGAGTTTAAAACTGTCAGCTATGCAAGAAAACCTTCATCTAGTCACATGATGATTAACTACATCTTAGATATCATTTCTACATTAAATGAATAAAAAAGAAAGGCAATGTTCTCCAAAAGCTCTTAAAAACAAAATAAAATGCTTCATCCAGTTATGCAGCTAGGAACCAAGAAGTGAACACACAAAACTTCAGGATGTTTATCTCAGAGTCAACATATTAAATAAAAGCTACAAAAGCTCACAATATGTTCCTCAGGCCTTTATCCAAAACCTAATTATTTTACATAAAACTGAAACAAACGGCCAACCTGCTTCTTAAAACCCACTAGTTAAAGCAGCAGCAAAAGGGCAAAACCTGCTACATTTGCACAGAGAACATAAAGACACCTACCACACAAATGTGACAGAAAAACAAGGACAGTCCTGCATCACGAAGCCACAGTATAGTGATCAAGATATCTGATAGGATTACTATATTACAAAATCCAGTAAAAAGAATATGCTCATGATGAAAACCCTGAATCATAAAGCAAAAACTAAATTATGTTCAGGATACACTGTTCAAGAAAATAGGAGAGCATAAAATACATGTAAAAATGATAAATGCACATTGCAGAAAATAAGAACCACATACAGAAGCATGTAGTATGCTTTAGAAAGATATCAACCAGAATAATTAACTGTTTAAAAAGTAAATTTTGCCATTTAAATCATTAACCTCAGTTATCCACAAAACTAACTTCCTAGAGGGTGTCAGGTTGATAGTTTTCCTCTGCTCCAAGCTCATCACGTGGGATGCAATTGTAAGTCACAGATTATTGCTCCATCTCAACACATATGATTACAGGACATGCAGCTAGAATACAACAATTACTTAAGTGCAGGTCTAATCGGAGCTCCAGAGTCACATTTCCAATTACCTGAGAGATAGCAATAATGGCAGTTAAGGACTCAGGCTTCAATTCAAGCAGACTGCCACTCAAGTCTCAGCTCTAAATATTAGTTAGATGACCTTGGATGTGGGAAAAAAGTTCAGCAGAAAATGAGTGTTACACTGCTATTATTTAAAATGGATAACCAACAAAAACCTACTGTATAGCACATGGAACTCTGCTCAATTTTATGTGCCAGGCTGGATGGGAGGGGAGTTTGGGGGACTCCCATGTGTCCCATGTGTATGTATGGCTGAGTCCCTTCACCGTTCACCTGAAACTATCACAACACTGTTGGTTGGCTATACCCCAATACAAAATGTTTTTGGTGTTAAAAAAAATTAAAATTTTTAAAAAATTAAAAAGAAAGAGTGTTACATAAGTAATAGTTGTTATCTTCACCATCGTGTATCACCATTACTATTAACTGATGTTCTTCCAGAAGGCTGCATGTTGTGTTCTAGGAATGGTGAACAGGTGTAGCTAAAGCTTAAATAATACAAACGTGGGTAAATCCAATCAATATAAGTGAGCACCTATTTATGCACTAGACACCCTTTACAAGAATTGAGCCTGGAAAGACAGATTGCGGCAAATTCTCCCCCCAAATGAAATTGTCATCCTGTGATCCTCACTCTGTTAAATCGAAATTACAGCCCCAGTTGCTGAGGCTGTAAGCGTCCCAGTCTCACCTCTCTCCACCAGCCTCTGTATGTGGTTACCTGTAGACAGCCACTGGCTCTCCTGTCAGTCTGCCTGTCTAATCCCTACAACTACCCGGCCAGGTCCTCATTACTCCTCAACAGCCTCTTACTCAGAGCTCCCACTTTCAGCGTGTTCCCACCTAACTACCATACTATGCCCAGACTGATCTTCAAAGAAAAGTGGTCACACCACTTGCTTGCTCAGCAGTCTCACAAGACTCCCTTCCGCCTACTAAATGAAGTCCAAATTTCTTGGTTCCACACTTCAGGCCTGGTCACAATCCAATTCTCAACATATCTTTCTATATTAACAGTAACTCTTCAATACAGCTGTCACAATCCACATAAAATGGAACCTTCGTATCCTGTACTTTCTACCACCTTGCCTTTTTTCATGTCCATCTTGTCTTAGTCTAAGCAATTATTTTACATTTGTTTGCTTTTTAATCTTTGGATTTTTCCTGACTACTAAACATGGTTATCCTCTAAAAGTCAAACATTATGGAAATTTATGGACTTAGAAATTTCCATGATCCCATCCCTGAGAATTAACCTCTGTTACATGCATCTAGTTTTCTTCAAAGATATATATATATAAAACTTATGTCTGCATATTTTTTTATTATAGTTCACTTACAATGTAGTTTCTAGTGTACAAAAAAGTGATTTAGTTTATATATGTGTGTGTGTGTGTGTGTATAGTGTTGTTGCTCAGTCGTGTCCAACTCTTTGCAACCCCATGGACTACACAGCCTGCTAGGCTCCTCTGTCCATGGAATTCTCTAGACAAGAATACTGGAGTAGGTAGCCATTCCCTTTTCTAGGGGATCTTCCTGACCCAGGGATCAAACCCGAGTCTCCTACATTGCAGGCAGATTCTTTACCATCTGAGCCATCAGGGAAGCCTTGATTACCTGATTACGCATATTACTCTTTTTCAAGTTCTTTTCTATTATACTTTATTATAAGATATTGAATATGCTTTCCTGTGCTATACAGTAGGATGTTGTTTATCTATTTTATATTATAGTAGCTTTGTGTCTACATATGTATTTATTAACAAATGAATCATACTCTTCTTTAAAAAAACATTTTCACTAAGCAATGTATCAATATATTTTGGACATATTTTCATGTCAGTATACAGAAAACTTTCTCCAGCTTTTTAGGAACAGCCAAATATTCCTAAATTTTATGTACCCAATTTTTCAATGTTATACATTTGAGTTGTTAACAGTCTTTGCCATTTCAAATAATCCTGCAATCAATGTCCTCTGTGTTTTTGTCACTTGGACAAATCCCCACCAAACATACTTTTCTACTTTAATGAACTTTTTGATTAAAGAGAATCTTTTTAGTAAGCACTTGAATCTTTATTAAGGTGAAGAATAACAAATTACCTCTGCTTCAAAGTATTTACAATACCTTCTGAGCTACAAAGCTGGAGTTAGCTGGAATAGTTTAGTTATAATTAAAGATCTTAATTAAAATCACATCTTACTGTACTTTCTTTCTCATGGGTTATATCCTCCCTAATACACCTAGGTAAATTCAATAACAAATCTCAGCCATCTTTAAAAGTTAATTTCAGAGTTTATGAAAATGTTTTAGGTAACTACATTAAGTAAAAAAAAATACGGCTAGTGAAGGAAGTGATCTTTCACAAATTACATGTATCAAATGCTTCAGATGAAAAGGAACTTTCAATTAAATTTCTTTCCTAGCTTGCATCTGGCTCCTTCTTTGCTCTTCAACTGCATAAAAAAACTGTTTTCCTGAAAGGAAAGAATATTATATTTTGCCACTGATCTATCTATCTCTTCCCACTTTTCTGGGTCTGAAGCTGCTGTCTCTAATAAAACTGCCATCTCACTGTGCTTTCCAGCAGCTAGTGCGGGAGAAATCTTGAATAGCTTATGTACAAAACGGTTCTTAAATTTTATTTTGGTGAGGTTTCAGTGAGATCTATTAGGTATGTATCCTAAAGCTTAATTTGCTTAAAATGGACTCTCCTTTGGTGTGGTCTCTTTGGAGGCTGATTGAGAGAAAGAAAAACCAAGAAACTAATTGTTTTGATCTGAAAATTGATGTGTCTTTCTGAAATAAAGAAGCATTCTCATCCCCCCGCGCAAAAAAAAATTGTTTTCCCGATGTTTAAGAAAGTAGCTTGAACTCTCTGCTGCACTTAAATGAAACAAGATCAACTATTAATAAAAAACTGCCTGTGTAGGCTTCTAAAACTAAGTATCTTTGCTGACACCTTACAAAAAGCAACCAAATCTACCAAAAGTTAATTTTTTAAGTATAATCAAACAAATCCATCTTTACCTCATGTCCTCTGCTTTGATTTGAATTAATACATAATAAAATTCACCATTTTTAAGGTAGTACAGATCTAGGAGTTTAGATAAACACAGTCATGCAAGCACCACTGCAATCAAACTACAGAACAGATCATCACACCAAAAATTTGCTTCGTGCCCTTTTGCAGCTATCACTTCTCTCCACCCCCAGTTCCAAGGAATCAACAATCGTTTTTATGTCCCTGTAGATTCACCTTTTCCAAAATATCTTATAAATGGAGCCATATTGTATACAGCTTTTCTTGTGTCTCACTTCTTTCACTTAGCACAGTACACTGAGATTTATCTGTGTTATTAGATGTATCAATAGTTCTTTTATTCCTGAGTAGTATTCAACTGTATGGTATATCACGTTTACATAATGTCCAGCTGAAAACATTTAGGCTGATTGCAATCTTTTGTAATTTGAATGTAACTGCTATAAACTTACATATACAAATTTTTGTGTGAATGTAAGTTTTCATTTCTCTTGGGTAAATATCAAGGAGTGGGAGTGCTGTATTATATGATCAGTATATGTTTAACTTTATGAGAAACTGCCAGTCTTCCAGAGTGACTATACCATTCTGAATTCCTACAAAAAATGTATGAAAGTTCCACTTAGCTCTAAAATATTTACTATCTGGCCCTTTACAGAAAGTCTCTTGACTCCCAACAGCTAGAGAATATTTTTTAAAATCAAGAATGGATGCTAGATTTAATCAAATGTTTTCTTGGGTAACTATTTAAATGAATTCACATTTTCCCCTTTAACCTATTTATACAGCAAATCATATTGATAGATTCCTAACTGCACCATCCCTGCATCATAAAATGAATGTATACAATCAAGCTGTTCTATATCTGAGATTCTTCTGAAACATATAACTTAGAATTTTTTCATTAATACTTACGAGACTGGCCTAACAGCTTTCTTCACAATACATGCTAGCCCTGTAAAGAAAACTAAAAAAAAAAATTCTCCTTCGAAGTATTTCTTAATTATCCTTAACAAATGTAGTATCTCCACCTCTGAATTCTCAAAGCACTTCATGCATTAATTGATGGAACTTATCATATCTGGACTATATTAAAGGTACTGAACTTAAATTCTCCCTCTACTATCTCAATATAAGGAAAAAAACATGCTAAAAGGCTATTAACATATCTTCATATACTGCTGCAGTGGCTTTCTGTGTGCTTCTTATATTAGGCACTAAATATTTAGTATGTTTCTTAATACTTTTTTCCCCTGGAGCCTGCTAATGAGATTCCAACTTTATGTATGATGAATATATTTGTGCAGTGCTTAAATTAAACTACTTGAGTACATATTCATGTTTTTAAAAACCGAACAGCAAAGGTAACTTTATAAACTATTTCAAAAGAAAAGCAGGTACAGCTTAGTTAATACAGCTAATGGAAAACATGGTTTATAGAATGTGCTACTTATCATAACTTATTGTACATGTAAGTTTGATTCACACACAAAAATTACTAATAAAGTATAATATGGATAATTCTAAACTGATTCTATAACCATATCACTTTTGGACAAGTTATTTCATCTGTATGGGCCTAAATTTTATCATCTATGAAATGACCCAATTTTATGACTTCTAGGGTCCCTTTCAGTAGTAAGATTCCAAGAATCTAAGATAATTTATTTTTAATATTAATCTCCCAAGGTTCTTAAACAAATATCTAATGCTTTTTAATAAAGAAAACATGGTGAGGGAAGATAGTACGTAAGTCCCATTTCCCCTTTTTAAGGTTCTCAAAAGGTACCTCTGTCTCTGGAAGACACTTTCCTTCCTGCTGGTTTCAACGTTTCTTTGTTTCTTCTTTTCCTAGTTGTTTTGGTTTGTACTTGGCTGGATTCAGAATCAGAAAAGTCAACTTTGACCTGACGGTGCCTTCTTGACTTTGATGCCTAAATAGTTGGAAATCTAATTAATTACAATGAATCACAAAATGAATCCAACAATACATCATTTAGGGAATGGCAAAACATTACTGCATGGCAAATAGAAGGGGAAAAGGGGGGTGACAGACTCCCTCTTCTTGGGCCCCAAAACCACTGCGGACAGTGCTGCAGCCACGAGATCAGAAGATGACTGCTTGCTGGCAAGGAAGTGATGACAGACCTAGCAGTGTGCTGAAAAGCAGAGACATTACTCTGCCAACACAGGTCCACACAGTCAAGGCTACAGTCTTCCCAGTGGTCATGTATGGTTGTGAGAGCTGGACCATAAAGGCAGAACACCAAAGAATTGATGTCTTTGAACTGTGGTACTGGAGAAGACTCCTGAGAATCTCCTGGAGATCAAACCAGTCAATCTTAAGGGAGATCAACCCTGAATATTCACCAGAAGGACTGATGATGAAGTTGAAGCTCCAGTCCATCAGGGACTCATTGGAAAAGTCCCTGATGCTGGGAAATATTGAGGGCAGAAGGAGAAGAGGGCGTCAGAGGATGAGATGGCTGGAGGGCATCACCAATGCAATGAACATGAACTTGGGCAAGCTCTAGGAGATGGTGAGGGACAGGGAAGCTTGAGGTGCTGCAGTCCACGTGGTTGCAAAGAATAGGACATGACTGGGCAACTGAACAACAGGTCACTTAGGGAATGACAAAACAGATAGACAAAGATGAGGAAAGATTTTAGAGAAAGACGTGTCATAAAGTACTTTACCATGATGCTTGCTTGCTTAATATTTGTCACAGGTGTATATACCCTTTTATCTTTATAACAGGAAGAGGTCCTTGCAGCTGTCATCATCATCTATTCAAACTGGGTTAGAACTTCCTTATTGGGTTATGTTGTAGATGCATGGTTGGAAGTGGAGGTAAAAAGGACAAGTATATTTTTCCCAGCTAACAACCTATTCTCCTTTTCTTCTAAAAACATTTTACTTTCCTTTGTTAGCACCACGTATTTCAAGGGAAACTACTTTATGCCTGACTCTCCATATGGTCATGTGGTCCCAATCTAGTCAAAATGAGCTTCACATCCCCAAGGCCACCAGGGGATGGGCGTGTGATCTGTCATCATTGATATAACTCAATTTTTGAAATCTGTTTAACTATTAGAAAGGAAAATTCTCCCTTTCCACTGAACTGAAGGCTGGGAAGGCTGGAGTTGTCACAAATACCACTTGAAGATAGTGAAAGCAATGTAAGACATGAGAAATAGAGGTAGAGTCCCAGGACTTTTTAGTTGCATCAGTCAATAAATTCCCTTACGTGCTTAAGCAGAGCCCTAACTAACACAGTTTTCAGTAAATGTCATCTATGTGGTACATGTATTATCAACAGTTTAAAAGCTACCGTGCACTATGTTAATTGTACCTCAGCAATTAAAAAAAATCACAACCATGCAATGACACGTTCTTATAAAAATTTATGGGGATTATAATTTAATTAATATTTTTTAAAGTATTTCATAATATCTTAAGAAATTAAACAAACTAGCCTATATAATACAGAAATAGTTCTGTTTTAAAAGAATTTGGAATAATTAAGTTATTGTCCTGATGCTTTCATTCAAAACTGCAGTAAACCAAACTGATAACACTTAACTAATCTATAGTCACTTTCACTTTTTTCATTTAATCCCTTTTATTTCAACAACCAGAGAATTATAGTAGTTTCCCACAGAATAAAGACACTTTGAGATTCATGAAAAAAACCCAGGGAAAAAATCCCAGAAAAAAATATGAGATAAAGCACGTAAGTTTATTGGTGCTCCTTCCTGAAACCCCACTAAAATTAGAGGAGAGGAATAAAAATGAATGAACTCACAAAATGGAGATAATAGGAAACAACACAGCTCTAAACAAAACAACAACATTCTGGAGGTGGAAAAGTGATGGCTGACTTAGGATGGAGAAAGGTGAACAAGGAAAGCTGGTCCAAGTGGATCAGGAACTGGGGTCATTAAAAAATGTGCAGATATGTGAAAAATCTACAGAAGGAATAGTATCCCATTTTCTAGCCTCAAAGCTGAACAACTGACCTCTTCCTGTACAAAACAGGTGAGCTCTCTGGAGAGGCTAAGCCAGAGCAGTTGAAGGTTTTTGACAGCACTAGAAAAGCTAAGGAAGGGGTGAAGCCTCTTACTGGAAGCAGGGGTGTTGAATGAAGTCTCTGGAAGGAATGAATGGTGATCTTGTCAGTGGATTCTCTGTAGGCACCCAAAACACTGCCAGCTGGGCCTATTTACTACTTTCCTCCCCCAGCTTGCTCTCTGATAAAAATGGCTAGATCTAAGAAAAACATGGAGGCTAAAAGGCTGTATCCCTGTATGGTGGTTTAGTCACTAAGTTGTGTCCGACTCGTGTGACTCTATGGATTGTAACCCACCAGGCTCCTCTGTCCATGGGGCTTTCCAGGCAAGAATACTGGAGTGGGTTGCCATTTCCTTCTCCAGGGGATCTTCCTGACCCAGGGATTGAATCCAGGTCTCCTGCACTTGCAGGCAGTTTCTTTACTGACTGAGCTACCGGGGTATCTCTATATGACCACTCTTAAATATGATCTCAAGATCCTCAAACATTTGCAAAAAGTCACCAAAATGAAAGACAGAGAACAGAATAAACAAAAATAAGAATTCTGGCAGAAAAGGAAGAAACTTCAAAAAACTGTAATTAACATCCTCAAACAGATAAACATATTGTACCCAGGGGGAAAAAAAATAAGAGATCCATTTTTAAATTAATAACAGATTCAGAGATAGAAAAAAAAAAATCTTAGTAATGAAAAAATGTCAGCAGAAATTTTAAAAATCCATTATAATAGTTCAGAAGATAAAGAAAGCTCTCTGAAAATAGATAAAAACAAAGAAGAAGAAAATAAAAGTTCCAGAAAATAAAAAGAGCAAAACTGCAGTAAACAATTCGATCAGAGAAGCATTTATAGAAAAATCCCTCAGAACTGAAGGCTATCAGATCAAAAGGACGTCAATCCTAAGAGCCCAGGGCACTGGTAGAAGAAAAGACCTACACCAAGGTACATTATCACGAAAATCCAGAGCTCTGGGGATAAAGATAAAATTCTAAAACCTTTCGTAATTAGGAATACTAGAAGCTGGAAGACTATTAGTAAAGAACAATGGCATCAAAATTCCAGGTAAATATCAGGAAAAAAAATAACTAGAAGAGAAAAAGGTGAAGATAGCTGCCTTTTGAGATCAGAAGTCCAGCGGCAGGAAGTGGTGGAGCAGGACTGCTGAACTGTATAAGCTAAACAGTATTATTAGATTTTTAAAACTATGCAGAGGTGTTACTCTGATGAAAAAATTAAAATGTGATTAAAAGAGCATCAAGTAAATTTCTAACCTACCTTATTAAGTAAATAACTTACCTGAACAACAACTGAAAAGGCCTTTGATTTTATTTTTGCTAATGATTCTGCCCTTTCACATCTCTGGAAGTAAAAACAACCCAGAAGGGGAAACAGTTAAAACACACAAACATTAAGTAAAATCACTAATAATTTTTTTTTATCAGAAATAAGATTCAAGACAGAAGGTAGGGTAAAAGAAACTAACATTTATTGGACACATATTAAGTAAAGACACATAGACATGCATCACTTTCTAACAGGGGCCATGATAACAACCCCATAGCTACTGATTGTTTTCATTCAAGATTTAAAAAGGATAAGAATGAAAGGCCTGAGCCCTGGTGACTATGCCACTCCCTCTTCATCTGCCTATGCCCAAAGATGGCTCTCTGCCTCATCCACTAAGACGGATGAGAACCTTGAAGGCAGAAAGCAGTAAAGAGTAGCTTAAGGTGCATGCTTGGTGGAAGACTGACAAGCAGGGAGAAAAAGACAGCATTACAACAGTCCTCCCCTGGCCCTGCAAGGACTGAGGGCGCCTTCGGCCACCACCTGTCCCCTCTCTTGCTGAAGACGGTGAACATTATGAGGCCCAGTCTATACCTCATGTGGTCTTTCACAAGGTTTCCAGTAAAGAACAGACTAGCTCTTCACAGAACCCATCTTACAGAATTTTCTAATATATTTATTAATATTATAACAGTGACCACAGCATGTTATGGTCAATACACAAAATCACAGCCACATAGAAAATGAAAAGAAGCTAACCAAACCTTTGCCCCAGAAGCAATCATATAATGAATTTTTCTGACCTCTGATTGTTGTGAATTTCTCTCACTCTTTTCTTCTCCACCTTTAACTTTCAGTTTTAAGGGTGGATTCTAAAAGATAAAGTAAGTTATATTTACACATTTACAATTCAAACCAACTAAAAATTAACTTGAAAATTATTTTCAGAACAATGGAAATCATTTACTTAATTACTGAAAAACTAAAAGAATATTTCACAAGTATTGAAGCATGGCTCACCACCAGACATTAAGATCATGGTTAGGTTTCATTAGAATTACAAAATCAATAAAAGTCAATCTTAACTAATGAAAGATAATATGCAGATTTATGTGGTCGTGAGAAAACTGGTTTATTCTCCTTTCCTTCAGGTTTTCAAAGGTCTTAGTCACGATCATTAAAATGAGGTAAGACAGTGCTACAAAAGATGCTTCCGTAAGTGCCTAGGCCATCTGTGCAACCCAGCTGTAGCACTTAAAAGCAGTCAAACATTCTAAAATGTGCTCTCATTAAAATAAGTGTCCATAGAGGAAGCAAATTATTTCCTCCTTCCCAAGGCTGTCATCTCATCACTTTCCTTGTTCATCTTTTATAAAATTGAGTTTTGAGCCATTATCCTTTATATAAGTCAACAAGTAGCAACAAATCTCTCTGATACATAACACATAATGATGAAAGATAACATATAAAAATGCCTTTCTAGCATTTGTGAAGACATTAACACATTATTAAACACATAGTAAGTAATAAGAAATTACTTGCTTTTTTCTTTTATCTTTTTCCTAGAAGTATTTAGTAAAATTAGATGGAGTAGTGGTTTCAAAGGGCAATTTAGCAAGGCTGGCCTTCAGGTTTCCAGAGTTAAGTTTCTCTAGCTGAAAAGACTAACATGGAATATGGGCAGCTCGAGCATCAGCATTTGGGTCAGAAAACTAAATGGAAGATTTGCATTGATGAGATTTGTAAACAGTTAAACCAAGGCAGGTAGAGCATTGGTGAAGAGAGAGTATGCGCTCTGTCACAATGGGAGAAGCCACCATGAAGTCGAGCCGTCCGCTGCCATGCAGCAAAGCAGGACCGGTATAGCCAAACCTCTCACCTTTAAGAGAAGTCAGATGTCTGGAATCTTAAGACCAAAAATATTTAAATGTTGGTAATTAGTTCAAGTTTTTAAAACATTAGGAACAGTGCTATGCAAAGGAAAAAAAAAAAAGTTATGTGTAGGATTTGGCTTAAAGACGGCCTGTGTGCAACCTCCACAGAATGCTAAATTCTAAAGATTGTACTAAATCCATGGTACACCAAGATTATTTCCCTATAATTATGTATACTACCTAGTGTGTACATATATATTAAATGGATATTATTTAACTACATGTTATATAGTTGCAATTATAATTATATAATAATATATTATTACACATAAAACCCATTTGTAAGGTTAAATAACATCACCTAGCTACTAACTGGTAAAGCTGAAACTAAAGAAGTTAGGCCCTCCAGATCTTTGTTTCATAGGAGGCAGCCACTAAACGAGGCTGCCTCTCAACAACCTCACCCATGTTCAGCCAGTCATGGACGATGCAAATGCAAAGGTGATGTATCAGTTACAAACCTTTCTGTCTTTGTGCCACTGCTGATGCTCCAAAACTATGTTCTTGATATTGTCAAAAAAATCATCTTTTATCAAATTGAGGGATTTTTCTGGATTGGACTTGTCAGCTGAAATTACACGTTTCATTCTCTGATAATGGTCATGAACGTTCATCATTTCCTACAAGTGAAAAGATGAGTCCTTTAATTCAGTTTTCGAGGGGAAATGCATCAACACAAATAAAATAAAATCACCTTCCAAAGTGACAGAGTTGAGAAGGAATAACTTATTACTGTATATTAAAAATAATATAACTATGCAGACCAGTACATTATTAATGAAAAGTCTGCTTTCCAGAAATACGGAATTACTGAATCCAACTCAATAAACTTTAATTAATATACAATATATGGAGAGATGATGGGGAAAGTCTAATATAGGATTGCGTTCCCGGATGTAACAAAACTTATTTGTAGTATAGCATATCTTTAAATATTACTCCTAATAATTAAGATCACATTTTTATTTCATATTGTCACATAAAGGATATTTACACAATCCTTTATATTCAGCTGGGAATTCCTATCTCATGACTCTCATCCAATCCTCTAGAGATGTGCTGATTTCAGAAATCTCAAAGCTCTTGTGTCTATCTCCATAAGCTTCTTCATTACTTCAGTGATAAGATTCAAGATTAAATCAAACAGTGATTTATGACACCATTTGAGGCATAATTATTGGTCAGATCTTCCTACTCAAGAAACCTCCAGACAAATGGGCAGGTCTACAGGGTAAACAGAAAGACAGCCGATGGCAGGCAGACAAGAACCACATAAAGCCAGCACTGACGCTCGGCTCCAACCAGCAGAGAACTATCCCTCACCGACTGTTACCACGTGCTCTGAGTCACCCCCAAGACAGGCCAGTCAACGCATTTCTAGGAGATTTTGATGGACCTGATCAACATCTGTTCAAGGAATTCAAAACTGCTGAGGAGTGCTGAGTGCTTACACACGTGGGATCGTCAATGGGGAACAGTGTCCTGCCGTGGGGAGCCCCTAACATTTTACATGGTAGGCTGTGCTGCATTCCCATTATTTTACACGCACTACAAACAGGACAAAGGCAACTAGCTTGGGGCCTGAGACCTGTCACTTGCTAGACTGTGACCTTGAACAAATCCCTCAGTCACAATCACGTTCCATGTTTGGACAAACACAATGCAGATGTATTAAGTGAGCTTATACTCGTGGAAGTATTCTGTAAATGTAAAACACTATACAAAATCAAAGGATTAAGAAATAAAAGGTAGTGTAGGGCTTTGGAGCTTTACACACTTGGACATTCAAATCCAGTGTCTGTACCTTAAGCTATACAAATTACTTAACTTCTCTGAGTCTCAGTTTCCTTGCTTTTAAAACTGGGAAAACACTACCTCCTCTGCAGTACTATTATGATAATTAGTGAAATAACATACAAAAAACCTTCAGCATAGTTCCTGACACACAGTGAATACTCAACATGTAATGCCATTATTATAATTTTATAAATGAAAAAAATAGATTCAAAAGTGAAATGACTTGCTAAAGGGCATATTTAAGTAACAGAGTTGGAATTAATCAGATCCTTTAAAAAACTGTAATTATGTATGGTGATGAATGTTAACTAAACTTATTGTGGTGATTATTTGACAATACATATAAATACTGAATCATTATGCTATATACCTGAAACTAAGACAATATTATATATTATACCTGAATTTTTAAAAAAATCAGCTACTTTGATTCAATCTTCTATTCTCTTGTTTTATTAAACCTCCTTAATCACAAAAGATAACTGAGAGGCAGAATCACAATCAGAATTCAAATACGCTGACATGAAGACTTAAGAGCATTTGCAGGAGGAGAAGGAAAACAGAAAAGTAATCAATTTAGGGATTACCAGTGAAAATGAGTAATAGGCTATGAAGATCCCCTGGAGAAAGAAATGGCAGCCCACTCTAGTACTCTTGCCTGGAAAACCCCAAGGACGGAGGAACCTGGTCGGCTACAGCCCATGGGGTCACAAAGAGTTGGACACGACTGAGGACGACAAGCGACGACAAGAACAGGAAAAATTCAGCCAACACAAGTATAGAAGGAAAAGGCCTTCAAAGCAGATCTGTGGCAAGCCAAAAATGCTAGATAAAGTCAGGATGGCTTCACACGGACTTCTCCATTCCTAGAAGCTTCCACGGAAAGGCATTTCATAGCCTGGCCCTCTGACCCTCCTCTCCAATCACAAAAGAATATGGCTTTACGCATCACCCCAGCTCTGTTCTCTAAAACCTCCCATTATCTGCTTGCTCACATATACAATTATTTAACAGAGGAACCTTTAATTAAAGAGCTTCAAATGAATAATAAAAATGTTTAAAAAGACATATTGAAAAAAATTAAGGCTCTACCACCAAATTAGTCAACAATCAAAAATTACAACCAACTAGGTTCAAATCATCTTTTCTTCTCATTAAGAGAATACTAATAAGAACAACATCCTGCTGTTCAAAAAACCCCTCTGGCTCTCTCTTTATAATTCACATCAGTACTCCTTGGCAAATCCTTTCTGGCGTCCCTAAATCTTTCATTCTTCATGCTACTCCAAACTTCCTCGATTCTCGGCTCCAGCAGGAGGCCCTCTCTTAAAGTTAAGGCTATTGGGTCTGTTTGCTTTTTGCTTCTCTTCTTCACAATTATGAGTCCATTTCCACTTCCTTCCCTCAGGTTTCCAAGGAAGAAGTGCCTTCTCCAGCTCAAAGGAATCTCTCCACCCGGCTCTTGGTCACCAACCCACCACCTCCTCCACAGAAGGGACCTCATAGCTGCTTCTCTTTTTTTTTTTTTCATAGCTCCTTTTCTACACAAAATCTCCTTCTAATTGCTCCTTACCCCAAAACTAAATATATACTCTAAATTTCTCCAATCTCTAAGACTTTTCAATGATTCCCCTCTCCACAAAAGATAAAACATAAATTCCCTCTATTATGCAAAGTTTTTTTCCTGTCTTTATTTTTATACATGACCTTCTCCCACTTCTTTCCTGCTCAGCTGCTAGAGGGCAAAGATCTTAATTTTTGTCATACTTCACTAGACATCTGCAAATGATGCCTTTCCAACCCCAGTCCCAGCTCAGACAAGGTCTTTGCTGTCCAACAGGCACTGCTACAGAACCTTAGTCAATTGCTTCCTAACTTAATGTCTCCGTGCCTCAGTTTCCTCAACTTTTAATCAGGGATAAAACATCTTCTATAAAAAAAGAAAAAAATAATAACTAAAATTTATTTAAAGCACCTGTTTTGCAGGGATGTTGTTGAGGAGTAAAATATTGATAATATACACAAAACATCTTGTATCGCTCCTGCACTACACCATGTTGTCTTTAGATACTTAGTAAATAATTTCCTTCTGTGAAATTCTTAACATTCTAGGTATATGAACACCTTTGTCAATCTGAGGATAGACTACCTCATCCTCACCAAGTGTTCATACATATGAAAAATTTACATACAATTTAGAGGGGGAAAAGGATCCATGGACCTTCTCAAGGCTATCCATGGACCCCTGATTAACAATTCTTGCTCAAAACTGAAGTCAGTATACACAGCAGACTCAGCGTGCTTTGAAAAATCAATCAACCTGACAGCTGAAGCTATGAGAACATGGTAGCATCTAGGACACAGAGAAACAGTTGAGCAAATCAAATATCTGATCCCCTTTTCACTCCTTATATAGGAAAAGACTGAATAGGGTTGAGGGGAGCAGTAGTAATATTTACTAAGCATCTACTATGTGCCAGAGGCCACACTCAGCACTCTTCAGGAATAATCTGGTCTCAACTCTTACAAGTGGATGAAATAAGGGTTGCAATCATAATATTAAAGAGGAGGAAACTAAGGCTCAATGGAATGAAAAAACACAACAAGTCCCCCACCTGCTCACACTCACTCTACACACTTTCTGTGTACATAGGAATCTATTCTTTAGAAAATAGGAACGGATCACTAATTAGAAGGCTGCAACCCTTTAGTGGGGTATTGTTTTAACCTCGGGGCAACTTTCCCACTCAGGTAAAACTCTCTGTGACTATTTATCAATGCAAAGGATTTTCCTGCATACTGCACATCTCAAAATACTGAAATACATTAGATTGAAAAGCTGTTTTAAGACTGTAACTCTTATCTATTATTCTTGATTTCAAATTTTTGTTTTATCAAAATAAACTATTTTCAATAGTGGGTTTTTACTCAAGCATTGTAAAAGGGAACCTAGGAAATGAACATATATTGTTAAAAAAAAAATAGTCACTAAATTCTTGTTTTATAATATAGCTAAAGTAAAATACAAATGGTAGTTTCAGTATTTGAATCCCAATATCCTTAGTCCAAGTCCAGTCTTTTACATCTATTTCTCACTCTTTCAAAATTTATTCCAGAAATTTTGATATATTTAGGGTAAAGTATTCCTGACACTTGAGAGAAGGTAATAGCATCCTATGATTAGAAAAATTTTCAGTATCCAGTAGACGAAGGCATAAACTCAATATATAGTTAACAACAAAACAGTTTTTAAAAAAATTTTAAGAACATAAAAGCAAATTTACCTCTAGTACATCAGAAGTGATAAGTTTCATTACACGATCATTTGGGTCCTTAAATTCTTCAGTAATTTCAGTTCGTTGAATTTTTTTCTTCATTCTGTATGACAGCTAAATAATAATGTCTTTTAAAATAGATGCTTTAAAAGATATATTTTAAGTACTGTAAGTAAGCCAGCAATAAAAATCATGTATAAGTAAATATGGGCCAAAAAACAAAAAGAAAAACCATTCTAAGTATGTATTTACTAAATAAGTAAGTACATACTTACTCTGAAAAATCTATTTTTCAAAGACTGTTAAACAACTTTTGAAATAACCCTTAAGATGCCAGGCCACATGCTTACAAATTCAGAGAAGTTACATGATTTGTCAACTGACAGAACTAGAACCTTTTGATTAAAATTCTCTTTCAATCTAGCATCTGAAAGTATCACAAGACTAAAGAAATATATATTAGTGGAAGTTTCAACTTTTCACTAACTGGCATTAAAATCCCTCAGTTCTCTTCAGTTGTCCCTCTAATGTCTGAATAAAGGCATAAGCAAATGCAGATACCCATCTAACTTCTTCTTCTAACCATCTACTTAATGGACAACACTCAGAAATATTGCATTATTAGGAGAGACTGAATTTTGCTTTCACAAAAAAGTAATCAGAAAGCATTTTTTTCCTCTTTCCTTTTTTTGGCCATGACACACAGCTTGTAGGATCTTAGTTTCCTGACCAGGGAATGAACCCAGGACCTCAGCAGTAATAGCCTGGAGTCCTAACCACCGATCACCAGGGAATTCCCCATATTTTTTTTCCTATTTTAAGAAATCTTTTTTCATTTTTTTTTTTTTTTTTTGCCATACCACATCGCATGTCAGGATCTTAGTTTCCTGACCAAGACCTGGGATTGAACACATGCCCCCTGAATTGGAAGCACAGAGTCTTAACCACTGGACCACCAGGGAAGTCCAAGAAGCCTCTTCTCAAGTATTGGGAATGATATAATACTCTTTCCACTTTCTGGAGACTGAGGCACTTTACGGACAATGAAGCAGAATTTCTCATTTTGAAAAACAATCTCCTTCAGATAACACACCAATTTGGGCATTGCTGTAAAGTGAAATGCTCTGTCTAGTCGTAGTCTCCTGAAAATATAAGCTGCATCAAAATGTTGTGCATTTATCAGATCTTGCTGAAATTTTAAAATTTCATCCCAATCCTTCAGGGCAACTCTAATCTGCAAACAAGAGGGGAAAAAAAAATTGTTAGTAAATGCAAATCTTTTTTCACATATGTATTATAATTTTGAAACACTGGCATTTCTCTTTAAAATCAGTTGGCTATGAAAATATTGCACCTGTTTCATATTTCCGCTGGAGGAAAACAACTCACAAATGTTACCTTTTGTTTTGGTTGACAAAGTTGCATATTGTATAATCCATATAGCAGATATAAAGCACCAACTCTGATCTGGAAAGTGTATGGAGGTAAAAAATATCGCCAAGCCGAAGTCAACGCTTCTTTTGTAAATGTGTTCTTTTCTAAATTTCTCATTCTACCACTAGAAAACAAAGAGAACCTATATTATGACTATGAAAAAAAATAACAGAAGAGGTTTATACTTGTTTAAACAGCAGCTGCTAGAAAGCGGACGGGCATTCCACACCTGATCCTTTCATGATTCAAGGATAAATACCTAATTTTCTGCTGTGCTTCTTACACTGAGGCCCAAGGTACTCTTGACGCACCTTCCAAAAGCATCAACTTTACTGCTGAATTGGGAGCAAAAGGAGTAGGATTACAACTAACTACTGGTTTAAGAATTTTAAATATGTAATATACTAAAATAACCACGGTAATGTTACAGAATAAAATACAAAGATCAGGTTCATTGTGACAAACCGGATTGACCTAGAGGGTATTATGCTAAGTGAAATAAGTCAGACAAAGACAAGTTCTGCATAATCTCACTACGTGTCCAATCTAAAAAACAAAGAAACAAAACAGAAACACATAATCAGAGAGCATGATGATGGATGTCAGAGGGGAAGAGGGTAGATGGATGGGCAAAATAGGTGAAGGGGATTAAAAGATACAAACTTCCAGTTACAAAATAAGTAAGTCACTGGATATAATATACAGCATAAGGAATAAAGCCAATAAAAATAATACTTCAATAATTTTGTATGGTGACAGATGGTTACTGAACTTGTGGTTGATCACTTGTATTGCATTTGACTGTGGAATCACTACACTGCACATCTGAAACGAACATGCTGTAACTCAACTATCAGTCAGTCAGTTCAGTCTCTCAGTCATGTCCGACTCTTTGCGACCCCATGGACTGCAGCATGTCAGGCTTCCCTGTCCATCACCAACTCCCAGAGCTTGCTCAAGCTCATGTCCATCGAGTTGGTGATGCCACCCAACCATCTCATCCTCTGTCGTCCCCTTCTCCTCCTGCCCTCAATCTTTCCCAGCATCAGGGTCTTTTCCAATGAGTCAGTTCTTTGCATCAGGTGGCTAAAGTACTGGAGTTTCAGTTTCAGCATCAGCCCTTCCAATGAACATTCAGGACTGATCTCCTTTAGGATGGACTGGCTGGATCTCCTTGCAGTCCAAGGGACTCTCAAGTCTTCCCCACCACCACAGTTCAAAGGTATCAACTCAACTCAACTATACTTCAATTAAAATATATGTGCATATTAATATATAATGGTGATTTTTCCCCAGTAGCCTCAGGGGGTCCTAATCTGTTCTTGAGACATTTGGGTGAAAAAATTGGAGAACCACAGCACAATGTAACCCTCCTTCCCCTCCTCCTGCCAATTCTGCAGGAAAAAAGTTCACCAATGTAAACAGCAGGGTAACAAAGGCACCCCACTATAATCCAAAGCCTGGGCCCTCTAAGTAATGAATATACTACAAGAATGAAAAATACCTATTATAGTACTGGCAACCAAAGCAATTTCTAAAGAAAATCTACCACTCTTTAAATAATCTCTACTTGTTTTCTCAATTTAGTTCCTTCTTCATTAAATTAGAAGATGGGGCAACCATAGCAAAATTTTTCTAAACCACTTTTCCCAAGAGGGATACAGTAAAAAAGATCATGGGTTTCAGAAACAGACATACTGGTTTCAGTACCTGCTGTACCACCTACTAGTTGTGTGATCATGGAAAAATTACTTAACCTTTTTAAATCTCAATTTCCTCATCTATAAAACAAGGATAATTACTGATCTCAGAGTTGTTCTATGGATTACATACAGCTATAAATGCATTACATTTAGTACCAGTAAAAAAAAAAAAAAAATAAGTTCCTCTCCTTTCATTAATTGTACAGCAAACGGTTCTCCATTCTCCATCCCCTGCAATGGACAAACTATACAGGTACTTATTTTACATCAACAAGGAGAAAAAAGAGAATGTTCACATCTTATTCAGCAGAACATAAGAGTTATAATCACAAGGACTCATTCATTTTATTAATTTAGCATTTTAAATATTTAAAGTATTATGCTAATTGAATACTAGATCCATCCAGTCACTGTCCTCAAAGAGCTAAGTCTAGTGGAAAGAAAATTTAAAATAATAATAACGAATATTTCTTGAGCACTTAAGAGTGCACTTATTATCACAATCAGTAGAGGACTCTGACCATATTCAAGAAGTGGGGCTCCATAATCCATGCTTCTCACCACTACACTATACTGCCTTCTGAACTACAAAGTTAAAATGTGATTAAGTCAAGAGGTAAAATAAGCACAAAGTGCTACAAGAAAAAGAGCATGAACACCTTATTTAGTCCAGAAGGGCTAAGGAATGTTTCCCTGAAGAACTGTCACAAGAGCTTAAACCTGAATGAAGAATAAGGTAGCCAGGGTAAAGGCAGTTGGGGTAAAGGTCCAGGCTGAGGAAACGCATGTAGAGAGCCATGGAGTGGGCTGGTAGATGAAGTTGCAACGCTGGGCAAAGGCCAGTCACGAAGGGTCTTGCCAACCTTGTTAGGGAATCTGAGCTGTACTCAGAGGCAACGGAAACCATTTACGGGTGGTATGAAAGGCCGTGACATGATCAAATCTGCACTTTACAACTTCAGCGGTTGTATGAAAAATGAATTCAATCATGCGGGGTTTTGTCTTTGCTTGTGTGTTTGTTTTTAAACATGGAGTTGTAAGAAAACAAGACTAGACTGAGGGCACACGACGGTGATCTAGGTCAGGATGAAGTAGTGGAGGCAGAAGAGTGGAGAAGGGCGGCCAGGTAGAGCTATACATATCTGGGAGGAGGCCGCAAAATGGATGGATGAAACCCAAGCCAACGAAATCGCCCAGGGAAAACGCGGAGCCAAGCACAGATGACGGCCCAGGAGAGACGAAGGCAGAGTTCAGACTGCCACTTTACTCAGCCCTTCCCAGGTGCCGCAAAGCGAAAGGGATGGAAGAAACTTGTTACGCCGCCCCTGAACACAGAGGGACAAGAAACACCCACCAGAAGATGGTTCCGAACTTCATACTTCTCCAGAGCTCAGTGAAGTCCTCGAAGCGCACGCTGTCCATCTCCTGGAAGCGGCTGAGCAGGGCCTCGCAGTCGTCCTTCAAGCCTGCAGCAGCCCCCATGTCTGCAAAGCAAACAGGCCACGCGTAGGGCAGCTGCCGGCGGTAGCCGAGGAAACGGAGCTCTGAGCCCCACCCACTACGACCTGACGCACACGCCCTCCGTGACGCGTTTCCGGCCGCTTCAACTCCACCTCCAGCCGGATCTACCCAAGCTTTCGCGTCGTTTTCTGCGCCTGCGCAACCGTTTGCCTCAGGGGCTCAGATCTCTTAAGAGAAGTGAGGTGGGTGCGATTAATTTCAGTAAATAAGTTTACTCCTCAGGGGACCTGTGAGCCAAAGAAGGATTTTAGGTCTGTATTATACCTTATACCAATCATTATTACACTTACCATCTCTCCCCTTTAAAGTGATCCTAGGGTGACAAGTCAGCTTTTACACCTAAGAAGGAACATCTCCCAACCTCAAGCCACTGCCTCGTGGAAATAGGATCCAAAGAGGGTTTACTGAGAAGTAGACTGGACTTCAGAGGCGGGCATGGCAACCCACTCCAGTATTCTTGCCTGGAGAATCCCATGGACTGAGGAGCCTGGCGGGCTATAATCCATAGGGTCGCAGAATCAGACAGGACTGAAGTGACTTGAGCACACACCCACGCAGACTGGACTTCCTCTCGAAGGCTATAATACCCATGTTTAATGTGTGGCTCTCTGGTTGTAGCCTTAACATCCTTCTGTCTTGAGAAGTTCTTGTAAATATCCCCACCACCACCACCATCACGGTCTAGCACATTACTTAGCAAAAAGTACTGTATCTGATTTTGTTGTGTTCCCTCGCTAAGTCGTATCTTTTTTTGACCCCGTGGACTGCAATACTGCCAGGCTTCCCTATCCTTTATTATATCCCAGAGTTTGCTGAAACTCATGTCCATTGAGTTGGTGATGCCATCCAACCATCTCATCCTCTGTCGACCCGCCCCCTCCCCCCACCGCCCACTCCCCCGCTTCTCCTCCATCTTTCCCAGCATCAGGATCTTTTCCAATGAGTCAGCTCTTGGAGTCTGGTGGCCAAAGTATTGGAGCTTCTGCTTCAGCATCAGGCCTTCCAATGATTATTCAAGAGTTGATTTCTTTTAGGATTAACTGGTTTGATCTCCTTGGTGTCCAAGGGACTCTCTAGCGTCGTCACCAGCACCATGGCTGAATCCGTCTTTGTACATTCCACCTTCTAGCTTCTCTCAGGAGCTGGCTATCAAGTAATATTTTGTACTTTTCACTATTTCTGTGATTGCAAATCATGCTATTCTTATTCTTTTGGAGAGTTATCCTAAAAGTATAAGGGCTCTCTGTAACTTTCCTTATCATTCATCTTTTTTTTTAAAGTTATGTAATATGCATTATAAAAAAACTTATGTAACATGTCCGAATAAGACGCATAGCAGGAATATGAACACCTGTGTACCTTCTACATGTATAGGAACTGGAATGTGACCAACACCTTTCACATAAATCTCTGAATTCCTCCTCTAAACTATTCTCCTGCCTCTGCCACTACTTTAATAACAACTACCTTATTTTGTTTCTCATTCTTTTGTAAATATTTTATCACATGTGTTCAGATCTCTAAACAATATATTGTTTACTTGTGGTTGATTTTGAGTTTTACTATAACAGTGTTGCAATTTCTAATACATAGTCTTTGAATTGCTTTTTAAGTTTAGTAGTGTTTCTGAGATTCATTTATATTATTTCTTATAGCTGTAATTCATTTATTTTCATTACTTCCTAATATTCCACTGTGTGAATATACAGTTTATTATTTCCTCAATGAAAATTTAGGTGGGTTCCAGATATTGCTGTCATAAACCATGTTTTATGAACACTTTTTCCTCTCTTATTTGTAGGATTGCCAGATAAAATATATGAGACCAAATCAAATTTGAATTTCAGGCCAACTAAAAGAATTATTCATTGTTCATCTTAAATAGTTTCACTGGGTACCCTTTATTTTTGTTGGTTTATTATGGATTTCTACTAACATGTTGCAGGAGTGTGGAGTATATATATATCTGAGGAATTATTAGATGATAGAGTGCAAATGTAAAACTTAACAAGATTTATACTTTACTATCAGTGAAAAAGTTGGCTGAAAGCTCAACATTCAGAAAAGTGAGATCATGGCATCTGGTCCCATCACTTCATGGGAAATAGATGGGGAAACAGTGGCAGACTTTATTTTTGGGGGGCTCCAAAATCACTGCAGATGGTGATTGTATCCATGAAATTAAAAGACGCTTACTCCTTGGAAGGAAAGTTATGAACAACCTAGATACCATATTAAAAAGCAGAGACATTACTTTGCAAACAAAGGTCCGTCTAGTCAAGGCTATGGTTTTTCCAGTGGTCATGTATGGATGTGAGAGTTGGACTGTGAAGAAAGCTGAGCGCTGAAGAATTGATGCTTGTGAACTGTGGTGTTAGAAAAGACTCTTGAGAGTCCGTTGGATTGCAAGATCCAACCAGTGCATCTTAAAGATCAGTCCTGGGTGTTCATTGGAAGGACTGATGCTGAAGCTGAAACTCCAATACCTTGGCCACCTCATGAGAAGAGTTGACTCATTGGAAAAGACCCTAATGCTGGGAGGGATTGGGGGCAGGTGGAGAAGGGGACGACAGAGGATGAGATAGCTGGAAGGCATCACCGACTCGATGGACATGAATTTGGGTAAACTCCGGGAGTTGGTGATGGACAGGGAGGCCTGGCGTGCTGCGACTCATGGGGTCGCAAAGAGTCGGACACAACTGAGCGACTGAACTGAGCTGACCAGTGAATCAGCATTCTCATTTCAGCCAAATCATCTCAGAAACTTGGTATCTAGTTCTGGTCTTAAAATGCATTTTCCTCACAAAGTCAAAGAAGCAATGGAACTCTCTGGAGCCTCTATTTTAACAAGGGCTCAAATTCCATTAACATTTCATCCTGAAGACCTAATCACTTCCCAAAGTCCCATCTCCTAATACTGAGCTATCATCTTGGATGTTACATTTCTACATATGAATTTTGAGGTGCCACAAACACACAAAACATAGCAAACACCTTGGACTCACTCAAACCTCAGAAACTGTTCTTTGAATAAATAGATTTCACTGGAAGAGCTAGAAAATGGTCCTATTTCCCCCATTCTTCTGGTCATTTCTTCTCTGGTCTGTGTCACATGAGATCCTCTCCCACCCTCAATCATGCTGTGTGTTGTCCTTGTGCAAGCAAAGTGGAAGGTTTTAGGAACAATCAAAGATGAATCAGATGGGAGCCTTGCTCTGAAGGAACTCAGTTTAATAGGGGAGAAAAGACATACATAAGTGATCACAGAAGGCTGAAAAATAATCAGAAGTAAGCAAGGGCTTAAGGTGATGTTCATAGGGCTGGCAAATATTAGCAGCTTAATTTGCCAAAAAAGAGGCAAAGCACCTACCCAGGCTCTCCAGGCTCCTCTCTAATTGGTGATTGCCTCTAATTTTACTTCAGTTAGGTTTTTGTTTTAGTCTACCTGCAGGCTGGGCAGTCAGGCAAGTTTATAAAGACTTACCCCAAAGCTTGTCCAGTAGTCCTGTTCAAGTAATCATAAGCAGTTCTGTGTGGAAGCATTAAAATTTTTTTTTCAAAGAGCCAATAATATTGTCCAGAAATATATGGAAAAGATCTCTACATAAAATAGTGTTTCTTAATGTTTTAATATTCCAAAGATCCCTAAAGAATATTTGACTTGACAGTATTCTAGCCTACTTGTCAGGCTACATATGCAATTTTTAAAAATGCTTTTGTGATAAACATTAAAGTATACCATTCCCCCAAAACTCCAGCCTGCTCTCCTCTGTGAAAGAATAACCACTTTACAGTGATTAAGCATCCATAAGATGAAAAGAGTTGTAGCACTCTCCCTAAAAGGCACTTCTCTAATTAAACACACACAGAGACAGGCTACAGATCAGTTTTTATTAGGAAAAAAATATTCACAACACCTCAGCCACATTTTTAAAATGTCAAGAGAATATTTAATGTCCTACTTTTTAGGTAATTCTATTTGAAAAAACATAAATAATGAATTTTCCTGAGAACAAAATATAAAACGTAGTCAGTTGAGGATATACAGAGGGTAATTTATTCTAAACAATACCTTGCCCCGCGCTTTACAACAGACTGCGTAATCATAAACTAATTACAGATTAAATTTAAGGCCCCGAGCTTTTCCACTTTCCGTAAACTCACTACCCTCTGTCCAGAAAGATTATCTTCTCCCAAAGGATTCTCAGGGTGCAGTCACACAACAAATTCAAAAAACAGGACAGGCAAAAAAATCAAACCAACAATAAAAACCCACCTAGGGAAGCTAAATTTAGTTTCTATTAATCAGGCCTATCTCAAATGCTTAATTTAAAATAAACGAAGTCTCTGGTGCCTTAAGGCTAATATCTTGAAATAAACACACAATTCCTCTATTTTTGACAAGTTATTAGTAGATGGGGAGTAATTTTTTAAAAGTCTTACATAGCTACTCAATCTTTTAGGCAACCCCTCTGTATTTCTCTGTTCTACAGAGCTGAGGATCACACTCCAAAGCATCTGCTTAGGAGTTCAGAACAGTTCTAACCACAGCAATTCCTGTCTCCGTCCTTCAGATCTCTCCGCCACCACCTCCCCCTCTGCTTCTGCAACCCCAACATCCAAAGCGACCAAGTTTAAGAAAAAGCGGGCAGCAAAATCCGACGAGTCTCGGAAAACAACAAGCAGCTCGGAGCCTTCGGGCCAGCGCCTCCGCGCGATCACCCGCCCGCGCGTGTGCTTCCAAAGGCCGGGCGGGGCAGCGCCTCCACATGCTCTCCCACACGTAGGCGTAAGCCTGGGGCAGCGGCTCCACGCGCCGCTCCTGCCGCCTCGCGCCGGCCCCCAGTCCCGGGGAGGGGCCAGGGCTGCGGTGCTGCGCCCCAGCACGTACTGGGGCGTGGCCTGCAGGGCGGCGGGCGGGGTTTGGGGAAGTTTCTTTGGGCGGCTCACGTTTCACCTCCTTATCATGTAGGCACTAGGGCGCAAGGAACAGAAGAGGTAGCCGGTCACTTCCGCATCCTAGCTATTTTCCCCGCTGAGGGTCTGATCACTGCCGCTCTCAGGCACCTGTCTTTCCTCTCCGTCCGGGAATGGAGCCAAGAAAAGGGAATAAAAGAAATTAAATAGTACAAGGAGATCGGGTGTCTGAGCAGCGTCTTGGATAAAACCGTCCACTACAGGTAAGAATAAAAATTATGTCCAAACCTCGGCAAGGTGTGAACACAACAAAGCTCCAGAAGGTGTTCATAGGAGGTAGTGGTAAAGTGTAGCTTTTGTCTTACAAGGAGACTACTTTATTTCAGATCCTACAGATTGAACTAATTCTCTGTAAAATGATCTGGGACAACAGATTCAGCGCTATTTAAAGGGATGAAATACGAGCGAAGTGGTTAGTAGCAGACTTAAACACCCGAATAACATTTTTTTGTTTACATTTTTGTTGCTTTTAGCTAACAACATGTTTGCAAAGGTTTTATTTAATCAAACCCCGTTAAATTTTTTTTTTTGTATTCGTTGCAACTTGTTTTTGACGTTGCTACATTAGAAATCTGAACTTTTAGAATGCTTGGGTTTCAGCAAACCCTGTAACTTTTAAATTCATCTTTTTTTTTTTTTTTTTGTATTTTAAAGGTTGTAAGGAGAAATCGAAATTTAGAAATGGTAGTTGTGAGGTTAACACAAGCTTAAAAGAAAATAAATTGTGTCTAGCATGCCTTTAAATCAAATAGCGCTGACAAAACCATACCATATATTCATGTGACCTTTTATAGTTTGTCACTGTGCTTTTCATAAACCACCTCATTTACCTGTGAGTTAATGTCGCCATAAGCAGACACCTGAATCTCTAGTTCAAACTCAGAACTCACTAAATAGCACCAGCACACTTTTATTCACTTCCGTTTGTCTTGCCATTCCTCTCATAAAACATCCCCTCGATGTCCTCTGTGATTGCATTACCACCCTCAGTTCCCTACATCCCTATTGCTTTCTATTGATAATTGCCATTTAAACAGTTAATGGGGAAAGGGGTAGGGTTTTACTGGACTGGCTAGCACCCCACCAGCTCAGAGACTCTGAATCTTAGGCTACCTCTTCAAGACTTATCTACAACATGAGATACAGGTCCTAATTCATAGGGTTTTTTGGAAGATTGTGAGATAACATGCAAAAAGCTTAGCACAGAGTACTAACAGACATTAGGTTCATTTTAACTCAATCTAAAACTTGTACGCAGCAGTGGTAGAATCTCCATGGAACTCTTTCAGTTCCAAAGTGAACAGTGAACCTTGGAACAAATGAAAAAAATACACCAAACTCCTTTGCCATACTTTCTTCAGATGTGAATATAACACTATGGTCATTCTCACATCAGCATCAGAGAAGGGGAAACTATAAGCCATGCATAAGGAAGGGAGACATTACAGGTCTATCTATGGTTGCTGGGGTAGGGCTATACTTGGATGAAGACATTATAAAGACATTTGTGATGGTCTCAAAGAGGCTGGCATGCTGCTGGATGAAGGACTGGTTCTGCTATTTAAAACAGCTTCAAGCACTCCAGGGGGCTTGTTTTCTGAATGAGAGGGGTGGATACTTGTTTTCTTCCAGCTGCACTGTCCTTTAAAGTGGCTTTGTCTCATCTAAATCATTGCTCCCAAAAGTCATTTTCCTACTCTTGGTCATTACAGATCTGAACATTACTAATACTTGAAAATGATAAACTTCTAGATTTCAGCTTAATTTGCTACCAAAATGAGAATTTTTTAATTTCAACCGGGAATGTTAAATAACTACTTTATTCTAAAATACCACCTCCAGTACTATCTGTAATTAAATCCAGAAGCACTTTGGATCATAGTATTTGCAATGAAATATGCATATGCCTCACAAGACTTAGATTGAGTCTTAGTAAACATTTGTTCCCAAACTTTCATGTAATTGTAATCACATTTCCTTCATTCTAAGATTAAAAACAGCCACTTAAGGTCTGTGGCTTAATTTTATTCAGGATGTTCCTGTAACCTCAGTATACTGGGCCTAAGGCTCTGTATGTATTTAATTTGTCCATAAAAATAATCTGTTGTTACTTTCAGGAGCAAGGATTCACTGTTATATCTTTTTGTGCTGAGTTTTTAAATTTTAAGTAAGAATGTATTACTTTTACAATTTAAAAAATTGCTATTTTTAAAATGTAGGAAAATGAAAAAGCTGTTAAAAAATTTTAAAACATACAGTATCATTAAGGCAGAAACAAAGCAAGGTTTTTCTAGTTTCATAATAAGAGTCAGAAGACCTAAGTTTAAATCTTTGGTCTGCCATTTATTACCTTTAAGGCTTGGACAAATCCTTTATCACTCAAGGTCTAAATAGCTTCATCTGTGAGTGAAAATAGATTGGAAATCTTACAAGGAACTTCTAACCCTTACAATATTATGTAACTATAATGTTAAGGATTTGTTTCATTCATCCCATTCATATTAAAACATTAAAATTGTTTTACTTTAATAAAGGTTCATAAATTTATAAATGACAGTTTTCTAAAAGCATATTTTGTACAGTGGAATATTATGGTTTGTTATTATTTAACATTACAGTTAGGGACACAGTATAAATTAAAGTGATGGCAATGGGGTGAATGTAGAAATAGCAAGAATAATGTAATATAAAATCCTTAAACTGTTGGTAAACAACTTTATGAATTGGAGGTGTTGAAACAAATATTGTTTTAACATAAAAGCTGGTCAAAGGGGGCCTGGTCCACAGAAGATGTTTATTTGATGTAACAAAACAATACAGTTAGTGTTAAAAGATCCAACCACAAAGAGCAAAAGGAATGAAAAATTTGTACAATGCACATAGAAAAACAAGATGTTTACTGTGACAACTATATATTTCTAAAATAATGCTTCTAAAATTACTCAATTATTGAAATCTATATGAAAACAGAAGGGTGTTAATAGCGACAAAGTGCATAAAACCAAACATCAAATTTTGAGCAAATTAACATTACTAGGCAATTTTGCTAACAAAGCATGATTTTTTTTTTGTTCACAATCCGCTCAAAATACCTTTATACCAACAGGGTGGGCAGAACATTTAGGTTTAATATCAATTACACAATATTAGCATAAACTTCCACAACTACAAATAGGGTATTGTCTTCTTTTGAGCTGGCAAAGTGACTACAGAAACATCAAATCATTTCTCTGAATTGAGAATTTTATCCAAATAAATGCCACATACCTTCCAGATATATGTATATCTTTCTATATCATGTAAATGGCTTTACCCATTTAAATAATAAATCATACAAGCATTTAAGAATCATTATTATATGATTAACAATGTCATGTTCCAGGTTTAATAATTTCATAGGCCAAAAAAAATTTCTTCTTAAAAACTAGTTTTATAAATGCAGAATATATTGCATGAGTAACTGCTGGTATTTTTTTAAGAAAATATATTGTGCAATTGCGGCTACCATGTACTGCTGGCAAATCATTATTGTTTATGTAAAATGTGAAAAAACTGAGTAAAAATTTTTTAAACTCATCATGATGAAAGGTTATAGCCTTCTTAAAAAAATTATATTGGCATCTTATTAAAAATAATTCGATAAGGGACAAACTCCCTAGCCCAAAATAAATAAATAAAAAGGTGCATTTTAAAATTGATGCTACTGCAATGCAATGGTTTAAATACCAAAGAACTGTGAAAATGTGCTGTGTGTGATCTGGCGTTAAAGAACATACTAAAAAAGAGCATTAATGTAAATTAAGTAGAAAGGGGATCAAAATTGAACTAACCGAGTTTGTGCAGTATTTGTAGCCAGGCTTCTAAAATTAGATATAGAAAATATAAATAGACTGCTTTAGGTAATGAGCCACCAGTGTCCAAAAAAAGGAATGAGATTATGAAAAAGCTCAGTTAACTTGATCCAAAGCTCTGAGTAGTTCTTCGCCCTGCAGTAGGTTTCTGCTGCCTTGTACAGGAGCATTAACTTCACAATCGTAACTGGTCAGCTGTGGCAGCCCACTCTCATCCATTGATTGCCCCAGCAGTCTACATGCTAAATCTGAAAAACAAGAGATATCTAAGTGTTCATTCATCTAATCAATGAATATTATTAAACAGCAACTATGCACTAGGTATTGGGGCAAATAAGGCCAGTTAGCTCTAGAAGGGTTTTTAATCTGTTAGGCAAAACTGCAATTATGTAATCAAGAAGGTGCAAACAAGCATTACTGGTGCTATATCACAACTGTTAAAAAGAACCTTGAAGGCTCAGAGTGATTTAAACCAATTTAGAAAAAGGCATTAAAATGTACAAGTTTCAGCTTCTATTCATTACTGATAGCACACAGACACAGATCAAAGATAATTCAGATTCCATCTGGAAACTATTACTCATCAAATAAAATGCAACCTTACTTTTTAATCCTGGTAAGGAATGGAAATCACTCTTACTTGAGTAAAGCTCCTAAATAAACGTTTCATATATTTTAATTCTCTCTGTGACATTTAATGGCAGAAAGAGTAAACTAACCAGAGGGTATTAAAATAATTGTCTTTTGCTCCATTCCATTCTGTTCACTAGATTTGCATCCTTTTACACGTTTCCAAGAAAGTGATGTGGTAGTTGCACGATCATCTGGTTGCTGTAATAATGTTCCCTGAAAACAGTAAAGTTATTTCAATTTTACTATGTTGATTTTTTAAATCATGAACTTTGAAATCAGTATAAATTTGCTAACAATACATAGGCAAGATTCTTAAAGACTGCTCTCAGTTCTTAATACTGTGATGAATTCATTTGCCACTCATATGACAACTGTGTAAAAATACTTTCCAGTTAATTTGGTCTGAAAATATTGGTATGGGTTATACTAGCACTGACTGTGTTCTGTGGGTAAGAAGGGAAAGTAACCAAAAGGGAAGAGAAAGAGACTTGATAGTGATACTGGGTGTGGAATGAGGGGAGAACTATACTTACTCTAAATACATCTCTAGTTTTTGGAATTTTTTGAGACTGTATTCATTAAATGTTTGTACTTTTAAGAAAGAACATGTACAAAGTGAAAGAAACCAATGTGTAATTTCTGAGAATGTAACATTAGTATTTGGAAGATACAGGAGTTACCTATATATCTAACTCAGAAATAGCACATCAGCTAGAATAGAAAAAAAAACATGCTGTCGCACTTACAATTCCTACTGCTTGAAAAAGTGAACCATCATGTTCAATTTTTCGCTTTCTCTGAGCATTCTGCAAAGCTAGTATCTTTGGATTTAGTTCTTCCTCAGGAGCAGTAGTTCTGAAAACAATTTTTTAATAAAAAATATGGTTGTTTTATTTATTTAAAAAATATCCCGTTAGCTTTTTAAACAAAATATATAATGCCTATTTTCCAACATTAAAGGATATAAATGTTATACATAAGAGTTTTCCTGATTATACTAAAGTTTATTGCCCTAAAAGTCAAAGCTTATTTTTTAAAACAAAATTTCCTAAGCTATTCATTACCCTATTTATAAAACAGAAGTGAACAGAACTACACTGATGTTAAAGAGTTAAATATTGGCCTTTCATTCCACCTAATACATACATATTCTTGGGACTACTGTAATACAATATCAGTTTCACATTGGAATAATGCTTTCACTGTTTGTAGAACACTGCATCTTCATTAGTTCGTTTTAGCTTTGCTCTTGTCCCCAAGATAATACACATATATAATACATATTTTATAAATGAAAAAACTGAGGCCTGTTAGGTAACTTGCTCTGCAGCTAATTAGCTGCAAATATGGAAGTACACTGTAGGTCTCCTAATACCCACTCTCCTTCCCAGTGATCTTCCCACTAAGCTGTTTTGCCCTCAGTATTGATCTGGTTATCAAACTTGAACTATCTGCATCTAAAATTAATAGTAAACATTAAAAAGAACTGTTTTATGTGCCAAGTCCATCGGTTTTGTTACATGTTTTGTCTTTTCAAGAACCAGCTCCCTACCCCGAACCCCAACATAATGATAATAGATCCTTGCTCTGTTCATCTAGTTGAGAAGGCGTATGGGTAAGTGAGGTACTACTCTAACTGCTCTCCTACATGCACTCTTGTTTTGTAACTTTTAAAAACTTCTATAAAACCTTCAATATATAGACAGGCATATTTTAATTTTTTTATATACATGTTTATTAAGGATAACTCAGTCTATCATGTAAATATCATCTTAGTAGTAGTACTTTTAATAGTTTATTTTCAATCTTTAAAACTTCAAGTTGTCTCGTTTAATACAGCACTTTGATTTTTTCAAATTACCAAGAGAGGTAGTAAAGAAAAAGCCTCCATATAGTTCTGAAAGGTAAATTCATTTCTTAAAGTGTTTAGTGCATACTGTATTGGAACTAATGTAAAAAAAAATTGTTAATTTGACTAGATGTTTGTTGGACTTTGGTTTTGATAAGTACATACTTATTTAGAAAACTGAAAAATCTCATCTCGGTAACTATAAATTACAGATCATTGCTAATTCTGTTGCTAAGTTCATTCTTTTCATCATCCAATAACCATTTATAAAGCAAGTACTCCATGTTAGGTACTGAGTTAAATATTAGTAACACTGTCATTGCCCAGAGGAGATCCAACGTTGGTTAGCGATACAGTAATAAAGTAATGTAGAATACTTCTTTGTTAATTAAAAGCTGCAAGATCTTTTCCAAGTTCTGGAAAAAGGTGTCTACTAGCATTCTAGGTCAAAGTATGCAGGGCAGGAGAAAAAGCCATAAGCTCTGGCTATGGCAGCGCTTTCTCCTATTGCTATTAATATCTCAGTCTAGGCACTGTGGAGAAAGAATCGTTTCTGTCCCCCACACACCGCCCCACTGACTCATTTTCTCTGACAATAGCTTCAAATTTAAAATACATCAAATCCTATTGCAAATCATACACCAAACTTATAACTTAAAATTTTGGTGGTGTTCATATGTTTGCTCAAATTAACTCCATAGAAGCAATGTCATAAAACATGCTTAGATTCCTATTGTAGCTCTTAAAAACCTATTTTAATACTTAGGGACTAAGTATTAAAGTATTAGACCCTGGTGGTCTAAGAGTTAATAAGACTCTGCACAATCAATGGATGTATTTATCAATATATCCATTTCCAACTCTATGGGTTTGAGCTCTAGGTCCCACATGCTGCAACCAAGGCCTAGTACAAACCACCCTCCAAAAAACCAACCTATTTAATCTGTGATATAGCTAGTGTTCTATAAATTAAAAGGAAAAACAAAAAGCAATAGTTATAATATGGTTATATATAACTACATAGTTATCTATCTACTATATATATATATGTATATAAATATAACTAACTATACATCCAAAAGTTTTAAATGCTTATTAAGTATCTGTATTACTTGACTGGATGGATACAATACAAGTATCCATTACTTGATGGACTGAAGACCATCAAGTTCAATTTGGAATGGAGAATTATTAATATCCTTAAGTTGGAAATGCTTCCCTGGTGGCTCAGATGGTAAAGAATCGGCCTGCAATGCAGGAGACCCAGGTTTGGTCCCTGGGTTGGGAGATCCCCTGGAGAAGGAAATGGTTATCCGCTCTAGTACTCTTGTCTGGAGAATTCCATGGACAGAGGAGCCTGGTGGGCTCCAGTCCATGGGGTTGGAAAGAGCTGGACGCAACTGGGCAACTACACACACTCTTCAGTTGTAGCTTTTCTTCAGGTGAGCTTATAAAGTACCCCAAGAGGATAGTTAGTCTGATTTAAGCAATGACAAGAAACTGGGCCAGTTTTTGTACATTTATAGAACTTACTGGCTGGACTTTATTTTTAGAGTATTAGAAGACCCTCCTACTCCTACAGTTAGATAAGTGATGTGACTATAAAGTAATACACAAGCTAATTTAGAAACAGTTTCTTGAGTGCTTGTTTTAAGTTCAGAATTCGTATGTCAGTTTTATGTTCCTTAAAGTATAAATATGAAAAAGGTTGCTATGTTTAAAGATAATTTACCATCATACACATTTCCTTAAGAATAATGACCAAACTATAAGTTTAATGTTACATATAAATACCTTTGACTCAAAGCGACAGATAACACATTAGGGCTTCTTGGATGAGACTTTTCTGTCTGTTCTATGACTCCTTGTCCTGCTCTGCTGGGTGAGGCTGTCCGACTTCCAGTATCACTATATGGTGACGTTGTGGCACAAGGAGGTTCTTTAGGTACGTGGGGAGGAGATGGAAACGCAATCAGTATTTTAATGTCTTCCATACCATCTTTTGTCACTGTTTTCAATTCATCACTGGTGGCTGTGGTAGTGGCAGTGGCTACAGGAGGCTCTTGCATCTGAGCGGGCTGGAATACTGTATTTGTGCTTGTACTTTGAGGACTTGTAGAACTGTTTTCCAGTGGTGACAACTGATCAAAGGAACGTAACTGGAAGTCATCATCCATTGGGATATAAGGAGCTAACATCTCCAAGTCTAAATCAGTGTCCTTTAAAACAAGATACATGAGTTTTTACAATGGCCATACCTTATGAAGCAACAACAAGTTAAACCCACAGTCACTTAAGAATAAAAATTAATATATTTTAATAGAAAATATATATAAAAAACAAGTTTATATATACCTGAGTGGAAAATGGATTCTTTGCTTCTGTATCTTCAGCAAAAAGTTTCTCTACCAATTCCAACTTGAATTCATTGACCATATCACTATCCACATCAAAACAATATTCACTGGGACTGTTAGGCTGTAATAAGAATTAATATATTTTACTTTTCTCTGAGGAAGCTTGCATAAATGTTTTGCTAGTTGCTAGAATTTGCAAACCTGATCTCAGAGAATACACAACAGAACTCTTCTCTTCTATCAAATTATCTAACTAGTGAGAAATTAAATTTTTGAACTTATAATTTTGTCAGTATATCCATTTCTAACTGTACATAACATCATTAATAAAATTAAAAGATGTGTTTATCTTTTTATTCTAAAGAATAAAACTCACCTAATAGTAGAACTCCCATTGGTACCTAGCTGGCCAATAACTAGATGATACACTCACTGGAATCAAGCTGTGTACTGAGGCCACACTGCTATAGTGATCTACCTAAAAATCTCACAGCAACTCTGGTGGGGTGCGGCAGGGACAGGGCTGCAGACTGAAGTTCTTTATTTGTATTCACCTTAATGAATGTAGTACTAGTTTAGTTTTCAGCAAGAATTCTAACCAAAAGATGATAGCTGTATATTCTAAGCATAAACTTTTGCCTTCCCCATCTTAACATTTTTGTTAGATTTATTTTGGTTGGATTAGAAACAAAATGATTCAAATATTTTTGTGCTAGACAAAACCGAGCCCCCAGAGAATAGATATATTCTCTAGAAGGCTATGACATGTCAGATCTCCTACTTCTAGCTTGCCAGTTTGAATCAATTATTTAATGTAAAATAATGTATCACTTTTTAAGGCTTACTTGAGTCTCATTTATCAACTCATAATAAATATGAGTAGTCCCCATCCATGAGCATGTTTTTAGACCTAAGAAGCTCTGAAATCAATTATGTCTAGATTGGGATATAGAGCCCTATTTGATACCTTCAGTCTTGGCCCAGCTAGCCCTTAAAGATTGTTTTTATTCTGTATATGAGAAAACTAATATCAAGACAAAAATTTAATACAAAGTTTTTACTCTGGGTAAGACTTGGTATTTTCATGTAATACACAGAATATGAATACAATGATGGAAATTGTACTAAACTGGGCAAAGCCCTTTGCTACTGGATAATTCTCCAACTCAAAGGGTAATGAATGGGCTTGGAGCAATCATAAACAGACAGTACTGTCCTCTGTGGATATCTAAATTCAAGACTTTTATTGTCCTACTGATATTAAATACAAAGAGGAGCAATATATATTTTACCTTTTGCCTTATGTTAAGGCATCTCCTTCCCACATTCCTGACTGTTTTTTTGAGCCTGAAACATGGGACTGAGGTCTAAGTTAGGCATAGCTTTTGCAGTAATTTTAAAAGTGCTAAAAGTCACACAAACAAAACTATGATATGTGGTTCAAATTTACAAATACATCCCCAAACATTAAAATCTGTAAGTTAACCTTTTCTAATTATATTATGACACCTACCTCAGGTGAACTTTGTCTGGTGCTTCCATCAGAAGGACTAGCTGGCTGATCTTGAATCTGGGGCATGGTAAAAGAAAGTTCCAGTGACTCTGGATTTGGTTCTAACTTTAACGCAACTTCTTGGTTGAGTGCAGGGTCAGCACTACTTCTAAGTGGCTTTGGAGTTTCAGAGGCAGGTAATGGAGACATTGCCAAATTTATATTCTGCAATTTCTCATTAGATGAGGGAAGCATTACATCATTATACAATGGAACTTCCTCAAGTTGTTGGTCATCAGTCTCTGTGTCTGTAGGGGGAAAAGCAATTTAAAGATTACCTAGATTTTAACATATACAACAATTTGTCGCCTCTTACAAAAGGTTTGTCTAATTGACTTAAGTAACAAAAATGTTACCAAATTTTACTTAATCTTAAAAGTCTGCAGATACTATGGTATAACTGTAAGTCTGAGTTATCCTACCAATCCACTATTGACAACTTCTGTAATCTATATAGCTTAAAAACCCCTGCATTCCAACTTTCTCAAACCTTTTATTCATTAAAGTTTAAACTAGTTTGAAATTAGTTTTCTTTTTCAATATCTGATATTATTTATTCTTTAGCAAGATATTATTTATTCTTTAGCTCAACTTATGGCTACTGCAATATAACTGCTAACTAGTAAAGAAAACATGACAGTAGGATACAGAAATACCAGAGTAGCTGAGAACAGTTAAAAGTGGGAAGAAGAAATACCCTAAAAACTATGAAGCACAATTTCCAACAATGTAACAAAAGCAGGAATGCTAACAAATTACAGGGCCAAAGGCCACAATGTCCAAATGATTATCAACAAAAAATGTAAAAGTTTAGGCAATTAACAAAATAACTAGAGACCCACCATTGCTGCCAAAATCTAAAGATATGATTGTGTCTCCAGCAGCTGGGGCCAGCAAAGTTAAAGCATCAGGCTCCTTCTTAAGTTTATCAAAGAGACTGCTTGTATCTTCTGATTCAACTTTGGTGAATAGCTGAGTCATTTTCATGTCTGAAGATTCAACAGGTTTGAGGACACATTCTGTTTGTTGAAGGGAGAAAATCAAGTCGTGCTGAATAATACCACTGTCAAAAAAGAGAGATTAGTAATTCTTAAATGAGCACTTGACACAATGTTGGAGGACTCTGAAATGTCTCTCAAAAAAATTCAAAATTCTGCTTTATGGAATGATGCCTTAAATCATCTCTCATGCCTACCTGGTCATGTTCAGGGTTTAAAATCCCAATATGAAATAAAAACCTATTAAAATTCACAATACAAGATAATTCAAATATTTGATTAATTTCAATTAAGAAACTTTAGCTATCCCTTTGAGAAGATTGGTGGTGACAAAGAAATGTAATAGTCAAGTACATGTAGGACAATAAACAGATCTTTTGTGCCCACATGGAATGAAATTAACACAGAATTCTTGGACACTAATATATGAAGCATGATCTAAGGATGGTGCTAGAATATTAAGATATAAAGATAAATGACGAAGGTCCTTCTCAGAGAGGCACTGTTTTTTCCTTGGTGGTAAGAAAATGATCTGTGATACCACCTACAGGATAGAGTTGAAGAGGGATGATGAACAACAGCTCCATCTTCATGATTCACTTAATTTTGTTGTTGTTTAGTTGCTAAGTCATGTCCGACCCTTTTGCAACCCAATGGACTGTAGTCCACCAGGCTCCTCTATCCATGGGATTTCCCAGAAAAGAATCCTGGAGTGGATTGCCATTTCCTTTTCCAGGGGATGTTCCTGACCCAGGGATCAAACCAGGGTCTCCTGCATCGGCAAGCAGATTCTTTACCACTGAGCCACTGCTGTTTTAATCAACAAACTTTAAGTGTTTACTAAATGAACTGAGGATTCAAAGTTCAAAATATCTAACCCTTGCATTAGGCAGTGTAAAACCCAGTGTGTGTGAAAGTAGGTGTGCAAACAGTTAAAATACAAAATGATAATTGCTAAAATGGAGGAGGTTTGTGTCACAGAGGTCAACAAGTTGAAATTTGATAGCCATAATATTCACAAGCCAGTCCACTAAGAGAAGAGTTCATGAATACACAAGAGTTGTGTGTCCCATCATACAGCCTTTTACAGTAATCTCACAAATAATTTCACTTAATCCTCATTTTAACCTTTTGAGGTAAGTTTTATCATCTCTCCTAAATGGATGAAATTCAGAGAAATGAGATTTCCCCAAGTCATGGAGCTAATAAGGGACAAAGCTATGACACAAACCTAACTATTCCAGGGCCAGAATTCTTTTTATAAAAATAATATAGTCGCCTTGATATAGTTTATGGTGACAGCTGTATGACTAGAACAAACTAATCCATCAGAGATGTGGTAGTTTTTCAAGGTCTTTTTTCAAATGGGAGTAAAAAGGATGGGGATGACTAGCTACTGATGGTAATTAGTTGAATCAGTGAAAGATAGCTGGCCTAGAAACTCAGGTCGAAATACTGAAAACCATAATTGGGTAGAAATGTGAAAGTAAAATTCAGTTATCATTTATAATCTTTTCTATAAAAGAAAAGAGTATTCAAAGACTTACTACTTGCTGCCCTCAATTATTTATTTTCCAAGCTTACCTCACAACATAATTTACACATACAATGCACTGGGGCTGAGAGTTCTTAGTGTTATATATGACAGTTGCTTGAGTTTCAATCCAGACATATCCACCTCTTTTGGCAAGCATTCTGTACTGTCCTGTTGTGACTTGTCCTTTAGTAAACACTAGGAGTGAAAAGGAAAAAAGTGTCATGTAGAGAAAATAACTTCAAATTTTCAACTGAATGAATAAATGCAGAATGTTGATTATTATTTTAGAAAAAAGGAGAAATGTTTAATCAGTTTAAACTGTTTAAGAAACAGTGAAAACACCCCAGGATAGCTGAAAAAGTACCTATTCCATTCTTCTAATCCCCCAAATAAACTCCTTTCTTGCCAACCTTCACTTTAAATAAGATGAAAGCCAGGAATGAGGGACAGCAGTGACTAAAACTCCTTTAACAACTTACATGTTGAACATATCAGAAATATTAAAGAATGAATAACTCTAATTCTATTGAGAACATTCAAGAAAGTGGCATTGCTACCAGTTCCTTAAATTCCTGCTATAGTTTCCAGAGAAGCAAAGATGCTTCAAATAGTTGTGCTAGCATATTTGAATTTCAATTGGTATCATGCTAAAGTCTTCTGGCAATGTAGACAATCTTAATTATTGATTTGGAAGAAAGTACTAGATAAACATGATGATATTATCATGAGTATTGAGACCCTGACTGCAGACTTAGGCCCATTCTATAGTTCAAGGCTAATCATGCTAACTCAGTGACATTCAGGCATCCCTAATCATGTTGGGAAGTCATATTTAGGGACAGATTAAACAGGCAAGTGAGAAATTCCAAAGTTTTACTTATCATGCGATCCTTAAATAACATTCATATGAGTAAAACTGAGAATTACATCTTATGTCAAGGGTACTTATTTCTACTAACTGTGCATGATGTTGATTATATTCACATTCATTAATCTGTTGAACAGTTACTTTCTGAGTGCCTTCTTTGTGTTAACTGTTCTGAATACTTAGGCATGAGTTCTGAAAATGATGCTATAATATTCTATATTTTTTTGTCTCTGTAAAATGCCACGGTAGTTTTATATATTATCAAATGATTCTGCTTTAACTGGTATTAGTTATAACAAATATGAAACAAAGATTTAATGATCTAGATGATAACTTAAGAAGAGCTTTATTCAAATGTTTGGTCTAGGAATATTTGGTTAATTTTAACCAAAAAGTCAGATATACAACCAAACAGTAGAAATTGCAACACTTAAATAATTAGAATGTGTATACTTACTATCATGATGAGTTTTGGTCAGATGGTCAGAGTCCAAGGCATGATAATATTCATAAATTGAGCGGCCCAAAAGTTCTTCTGGCTCATATCCCATCAATTCTGTAATTCTGTTAAGTAAAAAATATAAGAATAAAAATGACATAAACTAACTAATGAATAAAATTTTGCTTCTTCAGAGTACCTGATATGCATTAATCTTATGGAAAACTGAATTTTCAAAAATAAAGAGCATTCTTCTTTGTTTAAATAAACTTACACCTCACCTTTAGTAACTCTACAGATACTAAATGCAGCACCATGCATTCCTTTAAGCTCCAAGGGTTCACCCTGCTGCTTAACCCTTATATCTCCTTCATCCAAACTTGTTACCTACTTTTATCATATTTTATTGTACATATTTTTGGTAATAAGAGTTAATTAATATAATAAATAGTTATGAAGGACTGCTAAATTAAATGATAAAAGCTTCAAAGGCACTTCATGATATTTAATTTAAAATACAGACTAAACCTATAACATTATTTTTACCATAAAACCAGATTCTTTTTGTGTGTGTATGTATAAAATCAGATTCTTTATGTGACAGTTCTCCTAGGCAAGGCTTCACACTTTGGGGGATCAATATCTATGAAAAAATTTTAATATGGGAACTAAATAAATTCTCATTATGTTGGTTTGGGAAGATGCTCTTGTACTTAGTTCCTGAAATTACAGAAAATTATAGAAATTCATTTTAGATGAAATAGTGATATCAAACTGAAAATGCACTAGAAAGTAATTCAGTTACCCATTCTGTTCCTTAGCAGTTCAGTTAGGACACAGACTATATTTTATGCATCTCTCTAACCACAGTCTGAAATGGAATCCATTTCATGAGAAATAGTATCATGCTAACATAAATACTCTCTCCTCTTCTGGGAACAAAAGATGAGTTAAGTTCTTTGATTTCTCAGGCTTTAGAATTCAAAGGACTTTCTAACTGAGGTTCAAGCAGAAGTTATATAATATACTGTATACAAAAATATAAAAAACCAACTAACTCTAGAAAACACACAGGGGAGGTAGCTTTATCCTAAGAAATGTATAAAAGTAATACTGTTTGTTGTCACATCTTAAGGAAAGATCTGCCATAGTTTATTCCAAAATAAATAAATAGATAAATAGCTGATTTGTAAAAAAACAAAAACTCAACCTTGGACTACAAGGCGATCCAACCAGTCCATCCTAAAGGAGATCAATCCTGAATATTCATCGGAAGGACTGATGCTGAAGCTGAAACTCCAATACTTTGGCCACCTGATGCGAAGAGCTGACTCATTTGAAAAGACCCTGATGCTGGGAAAGATTGAAGGCAGGAGGAGAAGAGGATGACAGAGGATGAGATAGCTGGATGGCATCACTGACTCAATGGACATGAGTTTGAGTAAACTCCAGGAGTTGGCGATGGACAGGGAGGCCTGGTGTGCTGCAGTGCGTGGGGTCACAAGGAGTCGGACACGACTGAGCGACTGAACTGAACTGAAACCAAACTAAGCCAAAATCCAAAATTGTTTACTAAGGGCTATCTCTAAACACATCAACACTAGGTGGCAGCATTACAAGGAAACCTTAAAAAAAAAAGAAAATCACAACAGTCCTAATTATGCTTTACAAGTGAAGTCTCTCAGTTGTGTCCAAGTCTTTGTGACCCCATGGACTGTAGCCTACCAGGCTCCTCTGTCCATGGGATTTTCCAGGCAAGAGTACTGGAGTGGGTTGCTATTTCCTTTTCCAGGGGATATTCCTGACCCAGGGATTGAACCCAGGTCTCCCACATTGCAGGCAGATGCTTTACCATCTGAGCCACCAATATAATTTTAATTGGTCTTATATGGGTTATATATTTTTAAAAATTCTCATGGAATTAAAATTTTTTCATTATTTAAACCTTTATATTCTTATATGTGCCTGGCATTGTTCTAGATGTGAAAATGCAAAGGCAAAAAGTCAACCTATGGTGAATTTTCTGGTGCACTTAACCATACTACTTAAGAAATTTTATGTGGCAGGTGCAGTGACAGTAATACTGCAGGAATCAGAGGAACTACCCCTGTCCATGATAAGGAATCATGGGGATGAGGGACAGCTTCTTATAGGAGACTTATGAGTTGAGTATAGAAGACAGTCAAAGAGAGAGTAAATTATTTGGGGAAGAAAGTACATTAAAAGCAAAGACAGAGATGAGAAAATGCTTGACACTGTACAGGCAGGCTAGTGGGGAGGTGAGGCTGGAGAGGTAGGCAGGAGAATCAGATTAATGAGAGCTTTTGTATATCATGTTAAGGAGCATTGATTTAATCAGATGTCAGTCAGTGCTTTTCAATCTGAGTTGAGGTGCCTCTATCACTAAGGGACAAAGGATGTCAAAATATAACAACATGGTTTCCTAGAAGGTCAATTTTATTCATATTTGAGGGAGAAAGGTAAAGTTAATTTAACGTTAGCTTTTTGTATGAAAAGGGGGAGGAGTGATCAAGAAAATTTAACCAAAAAGTGTTTTTAATGGACTATAAACCTGTAATCTAAAGCAACTATGCAGTACACAATTCATTTATTCTAAGTATCATGGGGCAGGAACTATTTAATATTAAATTTCATTTTTACCTCAGTGTTATTGTGCCACAAACACAGTAGCTACTCAAATGTTTGAATGATTACAAGTGGAAATTAGTACAATAAATAATAGTCATTTGTGGGATATTTTGGATGTAAGAAGTCTGATATGTTCGAATTCCTCAATACTGAGCAAAATTTTTTCCACGTTGGTTCTTAATGGGTATAGCTGTGAGAAGTTCTAGAAAGCAAATTTTTCCAAAATTTTTTCCACGTTGGTTCTTAATGGGTATAGCTGTGAGAAGTTCTAGAAAGCAAATTTTTCCAAAATTTTTTCCACATTGGTTCTTAATGGGTATAGCTGTGAGAAGTTTAGAGTAACCAGAAAACATCTATCTCCTGTCAGACTCAAAATCTTACTTGGTTGGTCTCTAAGCAGGCTGCTTTTAGCTGTCTATCACGACCATTTTGCTAACTTTCTGATATAAGCAGAAGGACAATGTCACTCCCTTTCATTATCATTCTAACTCTATCACTTTCCTTTCCCACCCCTATACTTTATATACTGAGTTCAAAAACATAAAAATAGTTCCTAAAGAAGGATGGGCATATCTGTTCTATCATGCATTGATATAAATACTGGCACCAAACACCATAAAATGTCTCTTAGCATTTCTGTCTTCATTTTTCTTAAAGTTAACCCCAGTGGTGAAGCAGCCATTATGTGCACTAGGCACTCAATAAACTCTTATAATCCTTACCACAGCATTTAGAAGCATGGCCCTTATTTAACAGATAAGGAAGATGAGATTTAGAACAGCTAAGTTCTAACACCCAGGCCACACTATAAGTACCAGGACTGCAAACCAGGATTGAATCAAGAATTATGTGATTCCAAAGCCAGTGCTTTGTCACATTTTCCCATCCAGTAGGATAGGGCTTAAAATCAATTTTCTCCTATAACGTTCAATTTTAAGATAATACAAATACATGTATTATACTGTGACAAACTGATGCTCAAAGAAAAGTAGAAATGTGTCTAAGATCATCTGGATATAGGCAACAAAGTCAGCATTTAGTAGTCTGGTTACAAAACCTATGCCTTCAGCCACTATGTTACAGTTTTACAGTAAAAAATGGGACAAGCAAGCAAATAATTACAAAACAGAAAAAAAGGCTATGACAGACCATATATAAGGAACAGTAGTTTTTTAAAGAAACAAGGAAAGCTCTACAAGTAGATGCAGTAAGTGACTCTTAGAAGCTAAGTTTGTGTTTGGAGTTAAGAAAACTATACTGTACTAAGACAACAAAATAGCATGTGGAGTTCTCTGGAAGTAGGGTATTAAGGGCCATATCAGAAGGGTCTTCCCATCCTCCGGATTAATTTGGGAAAATCAGGAACCTCCATGGTGGTCCAATGGTAAAGAATTCACCATCCAAAGCAAGGGACACGGGTTTGATCCCTGGTCACATCCCACATACCACAGGGCAACTAAGCCCGCACACCACAACTAGGGAAGGCCATGCACCACAACAAAGGCCTAGCACAGTCAAAAATAAAAGTCTCCTAAAAAAAAAAAAAAATTGGGGGGAAGAAGTCAGCAGGGGCCAGATCATAAATATCTTTCCTTGCCATGCTAAGAAGTTGAGATTTATTAAATAGGTCTATTTTTCTTTCAGTTTTTCAAAATGCATGTCTTCTTTGATAAATAAAAATCTCCTGCCTTTCTAATATTTTGTATAAACAAAAGTTTGTGTGTGAAGATGAAGGGAAGCAATGAGGCATTTTCACAAGACATGATCTGATTTTCACATTAGGAAGTTCACTTCTTGGAAACCTGGATGAGATCAAAAGGGCACAAACCTGTTGGCAGAAATGCAGTTAGGAGACTTTAATGGCAACAGTTCACCAAAGGTAATAATAAGCTGAAGAACTCAATGGCAGGAAAGCAAGAGTGGAAAGACGGAATGGAGGAGACATACACAGTAAATCTATTAAGATTTTGAAACAGAATGTAGATAAGTGAGCAAAAGAAAAGTTAAGGATGACTTTCCAATTTTTGCTGAAGTTATATGTCTACACTGGTATATTAATCATGACAGGTATTGTAAGAGGAAAAACTGTTTCTGAAGTTGTTTTGGGATAGGAGTGATTCAGTCAGGTATGGAAATATTTAGTTTATAATACAGAAGAATATCTATCTAGATAAAAATATCAAATTGGCAATTAAATGGAAATAGTTATGGATAGAAATCTGTGAAACAGCACCATCAGCAAGGATAAAGCTGCTCAGGAAAAATATGTAGGATGAGGAGATGACCAAAGACTTTCCCTTCTAGTCCACAACCAGAAGTAATCCTTCCTCAAATTATGTATTGTATGTCTTTTGAAATATATTTATTTTTTTCTTTAAATAAATCAGAACACCTAAAGGAAAAAAAACCTCATCTTAATAATCACTGGATAGCACCTGCTAGAGTAAGTATGCATGGTACACAGTAAATGTTCAATAAATGTGGTTGAATTAATCTGTAAAGTTAATCTTACTAAATTCTAGGATGTATGATTGTATTCAACTTAAGTGGAAGGAAGCCTGCACACCACAGCTACAGAACTAGATTTATTAAAGAGGTCTATTTTTCTTTCAGCTTTCAGTCTTTACTATAGTCAATAGTTAAAACAATTCTGTGGACTAATTAAAAATTTCAAGTTATATTTTATATTTCACTTACCTTTCATCACAATAAGAAAATTTCATATCCAGACTGTGACGACTGAGAAAAGTCTTGCTGTCTAAAGGAATTTCAATATTTGATGGATGAGGAATGGGTTCACAAATCAGCACCAAGCATGTCATTGGTGGTTTCTTATACCCACACTGAGATTGGTTACTGTTGGTATCGTATACATGAATATGGCCTGTGCAGTGAAGTACCTGAGAATGAAGAAAAACAAAGCAGTTTTTAAAAAAACTTATGCTAGTAAAAAACAAAATGCAGAGACAGTTGAGTCTGACCTGGCAAGTAAGCTTTGATAAAATTTACTATCATTAGTAGATCACTGTATTTTTGAAAATCAGTGTTTTCTCTACACTACCGCTCATTACCTACTCTTCAGGTACCATAAGATTAGTCTTTGAAAAAATTTCCGTTCGTACAAATCTGAGCTTGTTTTTCATTTATCTGGTCACTATACCTGTTTGATGGTTATTTCTTGCTCTGATGACGATGTTTCAAAACTGAGCAAAGAAATGATACAACAATAAATAAAATATTAATGTGCATCAAGATTCAAACACTAGGTGGTTGGCAAAGCCAATGGTGCACATAAGTTAAGTTCGTGCCTCTTAACTGATGAATTGCTAAACTTTTTTGGATATCAAATCTATAAATACAAAGGAACGATAAGTTTTCCCTCACAGTTCTAATGCTGTCTTAATACTAGTAATGTTAAGATGCATTAATTTATCTAGAAATCAGCTGCATTCACAGATCATTTTTATACTTACTTTCCATGTTGCAGATTTTATGTTCATAGTTCTCCCCCGGCTAGTTAGGGTACACTTCATTCTGAGAAAAAAGCTCCGCTGTGTATTTTGCTCTTTACCCTTTTTTACAAGGCCTAATGAAAACATGAAATAAAATTTAAAAACATAATTAAATACACAAATTTGTTACAGCAAAAGTAGCACAGTGCCCAGTTCAGTTCAGTCGCTCAGTCATGTCCAACTCTTTGCAATCCCATGAATCACAGAATGCCAGGCCTCCCTGTCCCATCACCAACTCCCGGAGTCTACCCAAACCCAAGTCCATTGAGTCGGTGATGCCATCCAGCCATCTCATCCTCTGTCCTCCCCTTCTCCTCCTGCCCCCAATCCCTCCCAGCATTAGGGTCTTTTCCAATGAGTCAACTCTTCACATGAGGTGGCCAAAGTATTGGAGTTTCAGCTTCAACATCAGTCCTTCCAATGAACACCCAGGACTTATCTCCTTTAGGATGGACTGGTTCGATCTTCTTGCAGTCCAAGGGACTCTCAAGAGTCTTCTCCAACACCACAATTCAAAAGCATCAATTCTTCGGTACTCAGCCTTCTTCACCATCCAACTCTCACATCCATACATGACCACTGGAAAAACCATAGCCTTGACTAGAGGGACCTTTGTTGGCAAAGTAATGTCTCTGCTTTTCAATATATAACCCAGGTTGGTCATAAATTTCCTTCCAAGAAGTAAGCGTCTTTTAATTTCATGGCTGCAGTCACCATCTGCACTGATTTTGGAGCCCAGAAAAATAAAGTCTGCCACTGTTTCCACTGTTTCCCCATCTATTTCCCATGAAGTGATGGGACCAGATGCCATGATCTTGGTTTTCTGAATGTTGAGCTTTAAGCCGACTTTTTCACTGTCCTCCTTCACTTTCATCAAGAGGCTTTTTAGTTCCTCTTCACTTTTTGCCATAATGGTGGTGTCTCTGCATATCTGAGGTTATTGTTATTTCTCCCGGCAATCTTGATTCCAGCTTGTGCTTCTTCCAGCCCAGCGTTTCTCATGATGTACTCTGCATAGAAGTTAAATAAGCAGGGTGACAATACACAGCCTTGATGTACTCCTTTTCCTATTTGGAACCAGTCTGTTGTTCCATGTCCAGTTCTAACTGTTGCTTCCTGGCCTGCATACCTAGGTGCTATTCAATGAAAAGTCTCAATATGAGAACAGTGCTTCACACCTGCTTTGCTCACTCCAATACATCCAAGGGATTTAATACACTTGTAGTAAGTAACAGGTTCACAATAGCAGTGATTCCCTGAGATGGTGAGATGAGAATAACAATCATGTCACATTCAAGACAGTAGAGTTGGTCAGTTTACAAAGAAATATAAACATGGTATGAATTTGCTCCCTGTGTTATCAGTGTATAAAGCACCCCCCCAAAAAAGAACTTAAGCAACCCCCTCCAAACTTTTACTAGATATATTAGCTCAATTTATAACAAACATTCTCAATATTTATAGAACTTTTAAAATAGAAAATTTCTTTTTAATACCAAATAACATTTTTATATATCTGATTTTTCTAAAATCTTCCTATAAAGCAAGGAGGAAATTATCTCTACTTTGTTACTAGGGGAAAAAAAAAATATTGAGTGACTTTTCAAAGCAAAGTTAGAATTAAACAACCTGAAGTGTGTTTACTCCCATTCTAAGCCTCACTAACTAGTAAAATGAGATTACACTCAACTAACAAAGAGCAACTTGATTTCTTCTCTTCATTGATCAATCTGATTCAAGCCAAATACTTCATTCAAGTATTCATTATTCAGGATCTGGACTGGATATTTCAGGCAATATAAAGATGAACAAGAAACAATGCCTCTCCTGAAGAAGTTAAAAATTAAGTAGATGTAGTGAGGTCAGTGACAACACCACAATGGTAAAGTAAATACTCAAGACTTACAAGAACAATTTTTAAAAGTACAAAGAGAGATCAGGAGATAACTTTAAGTCAAAGGGAAATCAAAAAGTCCTTCTCAGAAAAAGAGACATTAGAATTTCAGTAAGTAGAGATGAGTAACAACAACATTTGGGCAGAAGGAAGAATAAAAAACATAGACATGAGAAAAAACATCACACATTTGGGGAACAGTGTGCATAATTCAATTTGAGTGCATAATTCAGTTTGACTGTAATATAAAGTACATACAGAAGAGTAATCAGACAAAGTTAGAAGGAATGGTTAGGGCTCTAACTAGAGAGGGTCATGGATGCCACAATTAGATCAGTCTTAAATATACAAATACAGCTTCCAAAAAATTCTGAGTTGGGAAACACAATAGCAACCTAAGGAACATTAATATCGCAGCAAAATATATGTGTTAGAATATAATGATGGTAACGAGGGGCTGAGAAGCAGGCAGTAGAAGTTAAAAAAAAAAGGTGACAAAAGACAAATGAAGAGGCAGAATCTATAAAAACTTGCAAGATTAATGGAAATAAGGGAAAAGAGAACTTTTTAAAAAGATCTGGAGATTTTAAGGCTAGTATATTGAAAGTGTCAAGTCAAAAAGAATACATTTAAATTTAGGCTTGCATAGCTAGAAATACTGGACTCTTAAGAAAGAAGAGTTCTAGTTCATACTCAGAATTACAGAACACAGGCAAGTTCGGACAATCTTGGTGCTGATACAAGTTATTCAGGTTTACTTAAATAGGACTGAATTTGCCCTCCCTAGAAGCAATTGAAAGTGAATTTTAAAAAGATGAAACAAGAACCATAATGGCCTTGGTGATGGTATAGGAGTGTGTGTATGGGTGGGGGTAGCGGGGGAGGGGTCCTTGTGGTAGCAGCAGAGATCCACATGTAAAGTCTCTGAGGTATTTTCAGTCCTTCATAATCTAAACTTGAATTAGACTGCCCATTGGAAACCTAAAGCCTTTGAACTGGGACATGAAGATAAATTTAACACTAAGGTAAGTGAAAAGTACTAGCATTTTCTTAATAAAAAAAGTTATAAACAACTAAGTTTTCAGCTCTATAAAAATAAATACTTTATAATAATTTAATGAACTCTAAATTCTATTTTTTAGAATTTAAATGAAATAGGACTATGCTGTATAAACATACCATAGGCTCTTAGTGTATCATTGAACGGTATACTGTAGCAGCCCTATTTTGCTAAAAGTGAAAATCTGCATTTTTGTTTCCCAACAAAATATCAGGAATATTATTTTTTTAAGTTCATAATTAAATCAGAAATCTATTACAATAAGAGTAGTACATGTGCTTTAAAAAAAGCATTTGATTAAAAACATACATCTAAGCTCTAATAAGTAGACCAGATCTTATTTAGAATAATGCATTAGCATCATCACCAAACCAAAACAAGACTTCCAAATATCTATGCATTTAAAATCTAGACTAAGGGAAGCACTGAGCTGCCAATACAAACGTCAAAGTATAAACACTAGAAGTTATATATTAAACTTATCAACAGTCCACTTAGGTCCTTGCTCAGAGTATATTTACTCCTTCTTTACACAGAATTCTAAAAAGTATGCATTTGCTTTTCTGAGTTCACAGTACACACACAACATGAAACTAAAAAACAGAAGAGGGCTCCAAGGTGAGAAATGGCAGTAGGAGTGTACTGAGAGTTGGTGAACATGGAAAGAGCTCCAAAGTACTAAGGAGTATGGACTTGAACCACTCTACCTTAGTTTAACCCTCACTGTGCTAACCAAATAATCTTCGGCAAGTTACTGAGTAACTCTGTAACTCAGTTTCCTCAGTAGAATAGAAATTGTAACTTCATAGGGTTTTTAAAGGAGTAAAAGCACATAAGATGCAGAAAACAGTGTCCTGGCACAGATAATCTCTAAATAAAGGTTAACTTTTAGTAGAAATGAGATGAGGTTAAAACGAAAACCATAAAAAATGACTGAGAAAGAATAATCAATGAGGTTTAATGTAGAAACAAACAAACATACCCTTAAATGGGAGAGCTACAAAGAACAACTGCAGGGCAGTGACAAATTTTCAGTGTAGTAACTTTGCGTCATGGAAGAAAGATCAAATTATGATCCATACACTCTGCTTAAGAAGGCACAGTTATGAAAAGACTTATAGATTTGTAATACACCAAGTACTTTTTTCCCAAATCTTGGAACATTTGATCATTTTTAATAATTCATTCCTAAAAGTTAAAAGTCCTAGTAGGTCTTTTTTAAAGAGATGGGAATACCAGACCATCTTACCTGTCTCCTGAGAAACCTGTATGCAGATCAAGAAGCAAGTTAGAACCTTACATAGAAGAACTGACTGGTTCAAAATTTGGAAAGGAATACCTCAAGGCTGTATATTGTCACCCTATTTATTTAACTTATATGCAGAGTACATCATGTGAAATGCCAGGCTTGATGAATCACAAACTGGAATCAAGATTGCTGGGAGAAATATCAACAGCCTCAGATATGCAGATGATACCACTCTAATGGCAGAAAGTGAAGAGGAACTAAAGAGTCTCTTGATGAGGGTGAAAGAGGAAAATGAAAAGGCTGGCTTAAAAACTCAACATTCTAAAAACTAAGATCAAGGCATCCAATTCCATCACTTCATGGCAAACAGAAGGGGAAAAGTTGGAAACAGTGACTGATCGTCTCTTCTTAGGCTGCAAAATCACTGTTGACAATAACTGCAGCCATGAAATTAGAAGATGCCTGTTTCTTGGAAGGAAAGCTATGACAAACCTAGACAGCATATTAAAAAGCAAAGACATCACTTTGTCAACCAAAATCCATATAGTCAAAGCTATGGTTTTTCCAGTAGTCATGTAAAGATGTGAGAGTTGGACCATAAAGGCTGAGTGCTGAAGAACTGATGGTTTTGAACTGTGGTGTTGGAGAAGATTCTTGAGAGTCTCTTGGACAGCAAGGAGGTCAAACCAGTCAATCCTAAAGGAAATCAACCCTGAATATTCACTGGAAGGACTGATGCTGAAGCTGAAGCTCCAATACTTTGGCCACCCGATGTGAAGAGCATACTCACTGGAAAAGACTGTGATGTTGGAAAGGATTGAAGGCAGGAGAAGAAGGGGACAGCAGAGAACGAGAAAGGTGGATGGCATCACTGACTCAATGGACGAGAGTTGGAGCAAACTCAGGGAGATAGTGAAAGACAGTCTGGTGTGCTGCAATCCATGGGGTCACAAAAGTTGGACACGACTTAGCAACTCAACAACAACAACAAAAAATGCAAGGGCATCTGTAATATAATACTTTGTAACTGAACTATATAGTCTTCAATTATTATGAACAATCTGAGGGGTCAAATAAGCAGTTATGTTTTAAAATTTGGTGAACTTTTTCTTCTTCTTGGGCCTTCAGAAGCTTGAACCCAAACTAGCACCTTAACTTTAACATTAAACTATGTAAAATCCTGTTATTTGTATGACTGACTTCCTTGCCTTAATGTTAATATTAAATTAACTTACTTGGTCCTGATTTTTATTTATTTTTCAATTTTACTTTACCAGGTCTTATATCTCTATAATTATTTACAGAATTAGATGGGCTTTTTTCAAAATGTAGGTATTTTTATGAAATTCGTAAAAAATAGAAAACATGGATATAACAAAGAACAGAGTAACATTTTATGAAGCATGAAATGAGGTTTTGCCTTAGGTTAGTACAATAGCAAAATTTTAAGATTAGTGATAGTATCCAATTAAGTAAAATCACCTGTCACAACAAATCAAACAAAAAACTTTTCTTCTCACCATTTCTGTGTGTAAGCATTTCTCTCATTTCCTCATGGTCACATGGATGAGTAAAATCAAACACACTGTGTCCAGTTAGTTCAAACTGTAAAAATAAAAACATTTAAAAAATTAGATCTATAACAAAATCATAAACACATACAGAACAGCTCTTAATATGTGGGCATTTTACCTGAGTTAATCCCATGTATTTGTTCACATTATCAGAAATGTAAATCATGTCACCATCATCTGTGAGAACCATAACAAAACCATCCAAGGCTTTCAAATAAAAGCAATTCATCTGTGCCTTCATTTCATCTTCAATATCCAAATCACCTAAAGAAAAAGTGGTTAAAATTTTATACTTAAGTGATAGTAATATTCAGATGTTTTTATAAAACTTTTCCCCAGATACTTTATTTAATACATGTAGAACATATTTTTTTCCATATATTTAAATTTTTTTTCTGTCAATTTTTAATACAGAACAGTCAAGGCCAGAGAAGAGAGACTAAATTTAGATTTTCCAGTTGTTTTTTATGATTATTTAAAGTAATGAAGCAAGGCAAACCACTGAAAAGAGAAGGGTCATGTCATTAAAAGCAAGATAGATATAGGTAGGTAGGTAAGTATGGCAAGAGAGAAAGAGGGGGAGGGAGGCCAATATCTTAACATTCCTGACTGAAGCTTTAAAAGCAGGTAATAAAAAGGATATCATGGTAAAGAAGTGAGAGTATGACCACCTTGCAAAAGTAATTTCCAATTACTTCTGATCTCTAATTTTTAGACCTATCATGTCCTTGTAAAACAACTCACCAGCATCCAGAAGTTTCCTCACACGCAAATAGCTGATGGTGAGCCTCATAACAGAAGCCTTATCAAGATGCGAGCTTACATTATGAGGGAGTGGCAACTGATGAGCAAGCTCATAAAAAACTTCAGACTCTTTACTTCGACGAGATCTGGCTGCATCTCTAGACTTCTCTTTTCGACGTTCAGAACTTATCCTATTTAACAAAAAAGGAGGAGGAGAGAAAAAAAAGAAATTTAAAAGTTTGCCTTTGCTTGAATAAAATTCATTTTACATTTTTCTGTTTACCATGAAAGGATTAGAAGATTCCATATAATTGTATAGAGGTTTATCCTACTACATAAATGTATTTTTACAAGACAGCTATACAATTTTTTGGATTACTGTAGACAAAAGGAACTCTCACAAGAAGTCGAAGATAAAGCTTTTTATCTGTCCAAACCAAGTGTTTCCTCCCTGGCACATCAAATTGGAGAAGATGTTTTTGATTTGTCCAAAACCTTACAAGTAGCCTGTATATCTAAGGCAGTACTTTCACAGCCATTCACAAGTAGTCTTAACTTAGAGCTTTCTTACCCTCTCCCCTACCACATGAGCAATACAGACTATAAGCTGTAGGAATTTATATTCGCATCTATAATCAGCTACTCTTTTCAGCTTGCTTACTCCCTTAGCAGTCCCTTATCTTTACTGACACAAAAGGTACCAAATAAATGCAGGGGTATGAAAGAAAAAAAAGATGTGGTGGCACAATACGAAAAATTTAAGAGAACAGGCTAAGAAAGATTGCTGGTGAAGATGAATGCATGTGTGCTCAGTCATGTCTGACTCTTTGTGACCCCATGGACTGTAGCCCACCAGGTTCCTCTGACCATTGGATTTTTCCAGGCAAGAATATTGGATTGAGTTGCCATTTCCTTCTCCAGGGGATCTTCCCGACCCAGGAATCAAACTTCAGTCTCCTGCACTGGCAGATGGATTCTTTACCACTGAGCCACCTGGGAAGCCCAAGAAAATTACTGAGGGTGTCAATATAATTATGTATCTTTAGGCAACTCTTCCAAGAATAAAACCAGTTAGAAAGATTTTCCTAAGTCATCCAAGCAGAACCATCTTTCTTTGCATTATCTAGTCCTCCTGACCCAGCTGAAGGTAGACAAGGCTAACCTGGTTCTGGCCTTAGCTGCTTCTTTAGTAGCTATTGTTTATTAAAACCTACTACATATCAAATATTACCCTGTAATATTTGTACTTCTCTCAAAACAACCTATAAATAGATTAAATATTATCCCTGTTTTACATACTAGGAATCTGGGATTCATTAGGTTAAAAACAGCCAGGCTGTAGCAGACAGGATTTGAATGCAGGTGTTTTCTTATTTAAGAAATGCAGGTATTTTCTTATCTCTGCTCTTCCACAAGGCTTTATTTTCTTAATGCAGAATGCAGCTTCTACCTCAAATAGTCAGCTGCTCTCCCTATGACCCTCAACCTAATCCAATTAAGTCAATTATTTATTAAATGTTGAAAATAACCATTACCATTTACTAAGCACTGGGCAGTATATAATAAGGATCTTGCCAGCATTATTTCAGTTAATCATCCTTATATTCTACAAACTAAGTACATAATGCTTCCACATAAATCTCTTCTCCCTCCAGCGACCTGCAAAGCTACAAAGATTCAATCACAGAAGTAACATTCCCCAAAACAAGCAAGGTCCTCCTTCTCAGAGTATACTCCTGTTAAGCTGTATAATAAAAAGTGAAATTCTCGCAGCTGTGTTGTGACAACAGTGGTGATACAGTTTTCACGCTTGCTCAAGTTTGTGTGCTCATCTGACTTTTATACTTTCATAAGGAATGTGAATATTTGCTATTATTAGTAAGTGAACTTTGACAGAAAAAGTTCAATTCAAGCATCTAGATCAATTTAACTTGAGAATCTTGAGATTTAAGGTGAGCTATTAAAAAATATTACTACTTATAACTTGGTATTTGTGAATCAGGATTATCTCAGTGCTGTAGAATTTTTTTAAAAAAACACAAAAATATATTACATGCTAAGGCTAACATGAAAATCTGACAATGTCCTCAGTCTAAAACTTCATTTTTTTATTTGCATTCATTGTTCTCACTGACTTTAAGTAAATGTTTTAAATATACAATAATAAAAGCTTAACATCTCAGACACTGTTTCTCTCCTTTTTCCTTTTGGATTGGCAGGTAAGTGGCAGCAATGGCAGTGAGAAACACATTCCTATCTTGTTCAAGTAAAATCAACAACAACAAAAAAACAGTGATAATCAATGATCTCATGATAAACATGGATATTGGTTCAAATGCCAAAATTAGTCCAAGGTAATCAGAATTTTACCAGTAACTTCCATCAGATTTACTAAGCCCTCTTTCATTTAATTACTCAACCAAATCTAAGCTACCAACAAATTACTATCCAACTGAAATACTTGGGAAAAACAAATCCTTATATTACATATTATATACTTTTAAAGGGCATCTGATCAAGCTAACCATCATGATGCATTATCTCCATACCTTTAGAAATATTTGTATTGTTCAGAACTTTGAAGATAATGATTGTCCAAGATATTGCAACTAAGTGTATAAGAAAAATCCATTACAAATGACAGTTTGGATAAAACATTTAAAGGACAATGTACAAGCGAGTGAAGACTGTGAGAACAGGAATTTGAGCATTAGCCAAGTTTTTTTGGGAAAAAAAAAAAAGTAAGCCTTAACAAAGAAGTAATATGATACCTCAAGAGTTGACAAACCTAAATTAGATGAAGAAGGTGATGAAAATCAGTTTATCTTCTATTCATAATCAATCTAGACATAAAGCAATCAGGAGACCTGTAATAAAGATTTAATGAACAAATTTATCTGGTGTTCTTCACATGTGATTATAGGAGCTCTTAAAACATTTCTCAGGTTAAAGCTAAAACTTCCAAAACTCTTAATAAAGTTTCAGCATCTGAACTGCCCAGTTTCTTGTCTACTCACTGGAAGGCTCTTTTTATCAGGTCATACCCCACAGAATTATATTACTATTGACCAAGAATTATTTCTGGTAGAACATGGAGTCTAGGTTCCACAAAGGTGAATCCTGTACTATTTACTTACTTACTCTTAGATGGCACAATAAAACTTTTGTAGACCACAACAGGCAGATTTTTAGCATGCAAATAAGGGCACCGTTTTTCTCTAAATTATCAATTCCATCTATATTGTTTTTATTAAGTACAGATCAAGTAAAGTTCTGCTATTAATATGTCTGCATAAGGTGCCATTCATAATCTGATAGTCATGCTAGAAATCAGTCAAGAGTACAGTAAAAATTCTGTCTTTTGAATAGTTTGCTTACCCATTTCCATGACCATTTTAGAATCAATGTTTGAGTAAACTAGCAATATAGCTCAATCTTTGTGATGCTTTAGCTTTCACATGCTTATTATTTCATTATTATTTAACATACAGTACTGTACAAACAGCTAACAGTTATATCTTCATATGATTTTGTATAGGAAATACATTTACAGCTGCTGTCTTATTCAGTTTCTTATGTACAGAGTTCATGAATAAGCAATAGCCATTTTACAGAGAATGCCTATTATTCTTCAGACTAGTAAGGATACAAGATAATTGCATATATGTTAATTCATCTGTATTGTCTACTAATTGTGCAAGAAAGGCCTGTTGGCATTCCTAATTGTAAATATGTATGACTTTAAGAACTGAAGTTAGATCATAATCATTCAAAATGTTAACAGATGATCAGACTAATAAAGTTAATGTACAAACTTCTTAAAAATCAACTCTATTATTTGCTGCTTTAAATATTCTTTATGACCTTGAAGGAACAAGTTGTTGTTTTGCACTTCTTGTGTAAGTATTTATATAAGATAGACATTTTGAAGTGAAATTCCATGATCTAAAGGATGTGGCATTTAAATTATCCTTTCCAGAACAGTTTGTTTCCATTTTTTAGTCTCTGCTAACCCAGGAATGTGTGTATTTATTTGCCCATGTTTTCTGCAGTAATATATCAATATTATGGATCTTTTTTATCGTTTTAATTTTTGCCAAGCTGATAGGTAAAATCTGTGTATCTCACTGTTTTCACTGCCCTGTACTTCTTGATGTCTCCTCAGGTTAGAGGAAATTCCAAGGAAATGTTCATTCTTTAGTTGGCATTTTGGCCTGCAGCTTTGAGTCTAAACATCTATACGTGGTACATACTATGTACACATTGGTATTCTAAACACTTTTCAACTACTAACTTATTTAAATTATTATATCATCACCATATTACAAATAATGGGACGTGAACAGTTTACCCAAGTTTACGCAGTTAATAAATGGTAGACCTGTATTCAAACAAGCAGTCTGACTCTAGAAACCATGGTATTAAATAACACTAGACTATGCTGCCTCTTGATGAAAGCGAAGGAGGAGAGTGAAAATGTCGGCTTAAATCTCAACATTCAGAAAACTAAGATCATGGCATCTGGTCCCATCACTTCATGGGAAAATAGATGGGGAAACAGTGGAAACAGTGGCAGAGTTTATTTTCCTGGGCTCCAAAATCACTGTGAACAGTGACTGCAACCATGAAATTAAAAGACACTTGCTCCTAGGAAAGAAAGTTATGACCAACCTAGATAGCATATTTAAAAGCAGAGACATTACTTTGCCAATAAAGGTCCCTCTAGTCAAGGCTATGGTTTTTCCAGTGGTCATGTATGGATGTGAGAGTTGGACAGTGAAGAAAGCTGAGCGCCAAAGAATTGATGCTTGTGAACTGTGGTGCTGGAGAAGACTCTTGAGAGTCCCTTGGACTGCAAGGAGATCCAATCAGTTCATCCTAGAGGAGATCAGTCCTGGGTGTTCATTGGAAGGACTGATGTTGAAGCTGAAACTCCAATACTTTGGCCACCTCCTGCAAAGAGTTGACTCATTGGAAAAGACTCTAATGCTTGGAGGGATTGGGGGCAGGAGGAGAAGGGGAGGACAGAGGATGAGATGGCTGGATGGCATCACTGGCTGGATGGCATCACCGACTCGATGGACATGGGTTTGGGTAGACTCCGGGAGTTGGTGATGGACAGGGAGGCCTGGCGTGATGCAGTTCATGAGGTCACAAAGAGTCGGACACGACTGAGCGACTGAACTGAACT